ATGCACACTATAAAGGCTAACCTTTTTAACAAGTGTATTTGAGCTTTTCAGGGAGTACTGCTTAACTAAAAGAGGAAAGTAATCATTTATTACTTTGACTTTGCAATATGAAAATGATAAGATCTTATTTCTTATTCATTTAAAATAAGCCTTTCAAGGGTCAAGGGGTGCTATGGAAACGCCTCACCACGGAAATGCCTCAAAAAACAGACTCATAAAACATATAGCACACCGGTCAAGGGCTAAAAGTCTGTATGTGTACAGGAGATTACCATTTCATTTCCATGGGACTCTCATGCATATAATTAATAAATCATACTGTTTTAATTAGACTTAAACAACTATTAAATGAATATGAGCAAATTTTGATGTTGTGTTATATCTAATCAACAGAGTGTACTGATCAACTTTACTTGGGTCTAAGTAGACGCAAAGAACGGGTTTTACACGGGTCTCGGGTCTCGATCACCTCCTAAAGTGCATAGGTTTCAGCCTATACAATACATCCTTTCATTTTTCCTTAACTGCAATCCCTTTCAATTAGTTGTTTAGAAAACATTATGATGTTATACAAATGTGAACGAAATTGAATCGGGTTATACTTATTTAAAAAAATGAAAAGTAAAAACAATTGATTTTCGTTTTAAAACCTCAAAAAAAAACCTTTCCTTTAAAAGTTGTTTTAAAAAGCGACTTCTATCCCTGTTTAGAGGACATAGATTATTTGTATGATTAATATAGATCTAATAGGTTCAACTAATGCCAAAGTATATATTCATGGGTCAGTAGATTATATTGTGAAATGGTTCTTAACGCCAAAGATGTCATCCTTCGAGATGGTTTAGAGATGGTTTAGAGATGGTAATCATTATCGTAAATGAATGAAATATATAAAAAACGAATAATCTCTTAATAGTTTGTTTAAAGGAAATTTCTTTAAAAATATGGAAAAGCTTTTGTTTTTTTTCTTGAAAAAAAAACAATTTTTATAAAACAAACTTATTTTTGTAAACAAACAAGTTTCTTGAACAAATGATTTTGCTGAACATTAAATTTTTACTGAACAAACAGTCTCACTGAACGAACAATTTAATTTAACAATCATTTTGTTACAAAACTAATGAATCGGGTCGTTAATGAACAATGAACGAACAAATTAAAAAGAGGAGAATGCGACCATCTCTGCTCCTTCTATCCCTGGCAACCCTGGAGAATGCGCCCATCTCTACTCCTCCTATCCCTGGCTACCCTGGAGACTGCGCCGATCTCGACTCTTCCTATCCCTGGCTACCCTGGAGAATGCACCCATCTCTACTCCTCCTATCCCTGGCTACCCTGGAGAATGCGCCGATCTCTACTCTTCCTATCCCTGGCTACCCTGGAGAATGCGCCCATCTCTACTCCTCTTATCCCTGGCTACCCTGGCTTCTTCAATAGTACTAGATTATGAATGTTCTAAAAAAGCTGGACATTTTATGAATAGATTGATTGATTTATATTACATTCCTTTAGAAGATGCTTGACAACATCAATCCTTTTATTCCACCATCTACCTTTCTAAACATTACAGGGACTGTAAACGTACTTTAAAGCAACTCTTCATGAGAAGTTGATAATGTCTGATGCACAACGCTACCCTTGAAACCTTAATGTGTTTGTCGAGTACAAAGATATGTGTGTGTAAACTCATCAAACCCTCCGTGGATTCGACTGCAAATTTTTAATTTAATTTAAATAAAATAATAATATATATATAGGGTTGTCATTAATGGTCATTAACGAAAGGCAGTTTTTAAAAATGAACTTTCGTTTATCGGTTTTTCTTCGTCGTTTTTAAAACGAAGCGATCGTTTTTCAAAAAAGTGAAAACTATCAATCCCTAGTCCCACAAGAACGATCAATCCCTAGTCTCACAAGAACGATCATTCCCTAATCCCACAAAAACGATCAATCCCTAGTCTCACAAGAACGATCAATCCCTAGTCCCACAAGAACGATCAATCCCTAATCCAACAAGAACAATCAATCCTTAATCCCACAAGAACGATCAATCCCTAGTCCCACAAGAACTACCAATCCCTAGTCTCACAAGGACGATCAATCCCTAATCCCACAAGAACGATCAATTCCTAGTCCCACAAGAACTATCAATCCCTAGTCCCACAAAAACGATCAATACCTAGTCTCACAAGAACGATCAATCCCTAGTCCCACAAGTACGATCAATCCCTAATCCCACAAGAACGATCAATCCCTAGTCCCACAAGAACGATCAATCCCTAGTCCACAAGAACTACCAATCCCTAGTCTCACAAGGACGATCAATCCCTAATCCCACAAGAACGATCAATCCCTAGTCCCACAAGAACTATCAATCCCTAGTCTCACAAGGACGATCAATCCTTAATCCCACAAGAACTATCAATCCCTAGTCCCACAAAAACGATCAATACCTAGTCTCACAAGATCAATCCCTTGACACACAAGTACGATCAATCCCTAATCCCACAAGAACGATCAATCCCTAGTCTCACAAGAACGATCAATCTTTAATCCCAGAGCAGACTTGAATCTTGATTTGTATTTGCAAAGAAAAGGAGAGATATTTTATACATAGAATATGAAGTAAGAAGATTATAAGAATAGAATTCTCCGCTTTTTCCTCTTCAAAGTTCCGAGTTCTTTCATGGTCTTGAATTTATGAATTAATCAAGGTAGAAGGAATTCCAGGATACACAGGGTACAGTTGAATACAGGCCGGAGTAGTGGATACATGACACAGTTGGATACAGGGGAGTAGTGGATACATGTGATAAAGTTGGATACAGGGGAGTACTTTCACAAAGCATTTTCCCCATCAAGTGGCAACTTCCCAATTGTACAGTTTCCCTAGCGGCAACTTCCCAAGCCTGTCCTAGCCGCAGCCATCGCCCCCCTTCTGTTATAGCCGCAGCGCTTGGCCCCATAGCCCATCCTAGCAGCAGCACTTGGCCCCTAATGCAGCCTGCGGCGTATCAGAGGGCCTTACCTAACCTTGGGAAGTTGCCGCTTGGAAAACGCTTGGGAAGTTACCACTTGGGAAAATGCTTTTGGGAAAGTACCTATCACAGTAGTGGATACAGGGAAAATGACAATTAAGATGAAAATTTATTTAATATCATGAAAAAAACAATGCATGCAATTAATTCTTAATTTAGCACATTCTTAATTAATACATAATGATAGTAACTATATATATAATTAATTGGAATGAGATCACAGCCCGTAATTAAGTTAATTAGTTGTAATTAACAAAAAATGATTCACCAAAAAATTGTATCTTTGTAATCTGATTTTTAGTAAACCTTCCTTTTTTAAAACTTTAATAAACTTTGATAAAGAGCAATATATAGTTTAGAATATACAGCATCAGATTACCAATCATTTAAATAGGGAATGAAGCGAGTATTTAGTTCCTTTTGTAAAATAGTTGTTAATTTTTTTCAAAAAATGATTGTTGCAAGCTATTTGTCCGAAAGGTGTTTGATATAAACTAAAGTTTAAAATTTAACAAAAAATTAGATGTTTCCAATTTTATCGCTTGTTTAAAAAGTAATCTGCGGATTTTTTAGAAAAAAAAACTGTTTTTTGTTTAATTCACCCCCTGAGATAGAAATAAGTCATTCATTGTTGTAAAAAAGTTTAGCAATTCAATTCTATTGTTTAGAAGATGGCATATACACACGTAAGCAAAACTTGAGCAAGTTTTATTTTATATTAAATTCGATAATTATTACATTTAAACCAAGTTTGTTTAAGAAGGGAAGACGAGCTTTAAATATAATTTATAAGTATAGAGCTTTATAAAGCTATACAGTGGGACCTATAAAACTGTGAAATAGGAAGATTACATGACATCAATATTTTATTTTTTTTAAATAACTGATTTTTACAGTGGTTTGATAATCTACTATTAAGTAAAATCAAGATGCTTACGTCCGGTGACTTTAAAAATCATAATAATCGTGTTTTCATTGATTTACGTGTCTCACTGTAAGTAACTTTTTTATGTAGTTAATTTCAAACAATATTTTATGTTCAAAATTAGTTTTTTTTAATTCGTAATTTTAAAAAATCTGATTGTGAATTGTGATATATTCATTCTATTCGTCTTTACACAATTACTGATGGTTCATTTTAATAAATCGTTTTTCAAAAAAGGTTTTGTTTAATATCTAATTAATCAGAAAAAAAGTATATTGTAATAATACAGCCAATACATCCAAAATATAATTTTGCCATGTGATAAATAACTAAAAATTCTTGTCGAGAACTTTGAACGTGCAAAAAAAGATGCTTATCCCTGATGTTACATATTCTTAGTATAAAACCTTCGGCTTTATGCTGCCAAAAATGATACCTAACAACTGTATTACTTTTACATGTTGGATATGCTATTCTAGAATATGTATACCTCAATTAGATTGCCATTAAAGAATGAGACTTCAGAAACGAGGACTGTATGTCATTTTTAAAGACTTTTTTCTTCTTTTTTTCCATTAACTAAGGCAAACTATTAAGTATATCAACTACAGGCTGTATTTAGCGCTAAATACAAATTTTACCGTTTAGCTCATAATATTTTATAATTTTCAGGTCGTAATTACAATCCTTCCTAGGTAAACCTGTTTATTAATATTAACAAAATTACAATAAAATACTGACCCATTGGCAATGGTAAATTCAGAAACTATTCTAAACTTCTGTTTGGCAAGTCATTTTCATGCAATATTCATATAAGTCTTAAAGGAACCGTTCACATATTTGGGTAATTTGAGGGTAAACTAATTAGCATATTAGCAATTTGGTATTAGTCTTACTTTTTGAGGACAACTGTGTCCGGAGAAAAAGCCGATTTTTTGCATTTAAACTATTTTATGCTTTTTGTCATAGTCATGGATTTTTAAAAATTTTCAAATATTAAATTAAACTGTAGTAACTATTCTAATAGTTAATTGTAAATATCTTTAATCTTTTTAAAGTAATTGCCTATTTTCAAAATATAACTTAATTTAAACATTTGACGAATTGAAACGTTTTCCCAGCAATCCCTAGGAATCCCCGAGTTGGAATCTAGAAACCGGTTTGACGAAGAGAGAAGGTCGTCTTTGTGTAAAGGTGTTAAATCATGTTTGAACACGATACACGTTATTTCTTGCTAATTCTAAGATAAAAAGTTTTTATGTTTTATTATAATATGATAATTTGAGATTTTATTGGGCTATTGTTACTGATAAAACGTTTACATAGTGTCTATGCAAAGGTGTCATAATCATACCTTTGCGCTGGAATTCTAAACGATAAATCGGCTATTTCTCTGGCCATAGTTATCTTTGAATAGTAAGACTAATACCAATGAATAGCTATTTGGCTTTTAAGTTTACCATGAAATTATCCAAAAAAGTGGTCGGGCCCTTTAAAATCATTTGGAATGGAATTGAATTTGTTTTTATCAACTAGTGCTAAACTTTAATTACAAATTTCTCCTCTAGATGTCTCTGGTTGGCGGTGTTCCAACTGTTTTGGTGGGAAATTCCCGCGGGTTTTACAATGTCTTGTTCACGGATTTTCTCGAGTTGATTTCTGATTTGAGCTTGCAGGGTAGTAAACTCGGTTATATCACGATCACATTCAGGTTCAGTGAGTTCCCTGAAATGAACGAATATAATTTTTATAATTATAAATGATAAATTTTACTAAAATGGATTCAATGATAAACCCTTGGGCTACGCCTTCGGGTTAATCATCGAATCGGGGGATTAAATTTTTATTAGTTCTAATTTAGCTTAAGGTTAATGATGCTTTTCATAAAATGTTCATGGCTTTGTCTGTGGCTTTCTAATATCAAACGCAAAAACGGCATAATTGTTAAAAATTTTTGACGTTTAAAGACGACTTCTACATTTGACATGTCTAAAACAAGATTAAATTTTGCAATACAGGTTATTCACTGTGCTGTGGGACCCCTACAACTATGAAATAGGAAGACGACTGTTCGACTCAAGTTATAATTCTATATAGTCCATTGAGACTGAAAGACAATATTTCCACCTCAAAAACTGAAATGTCGTCTTCCATTTCCACATTTTTAATGTCCCACTGTAGTCTGTAGCATCAGAACCGATATTAGTTCTACCTTAAATAGTTTCACATCTTTTATATCTTTTATATGAGGTATCTTTATAATTGTACTTGTGCTAAAGTGAATCAACTTAACCCCCTTTATTTTTTTACGAACTCTCCCTTTAAAGGGACTGTAAGCGTAGTTTCAAGTTGCCCTCCTTTCAAAGATGTCAATGCCTGAATCCCAGCAGTAGCCTACCAACCGTAATCTGATCTAAAATGTGAAAGAAAACGTTTTTTTTCTGATTTGAAAAGTGTTAAATTCAGATATTTCTCCATTGCTTCTAATGAGCAAGAAATGCGAAAGTCACGTTCACAGAGAAACCGCAGATGAAAATAAACATTTTTAAGGAAGAAAACCATGGATATATAATTCCTACTTGATGAGACAAAGCTTTCAAGGGTACCATTGTGAATCGGGTGTTGTCATCTTTGCATAGAGGATCACTTGAAATTAAGCTTACAGTCCCTTTTTAATTAAAAAGTATTGATTGAAGTTGGATAAGTTTGATATGTTTTATTTCCATTGATTTCATTGCAGAGTAGTCTAGAATCCAATGCAATCAATTAATCAAATGTCACATTTATAATTTATTGGTTTATTGAAATTCAAATCAAATAACATTCTGTCACAGGGATAAAGCGTGGGCGGCCAAATAGGGAAATTAATAAATTGACAAATATTTAAATAATCAATTTTGAAAACTATTATCTCTTCCTGGGGGGGGGGGCGTATTATTAACTATTTAAAAAGCCCTCCACAAATGAATTTAAATTCTATCGTTCTATATTTCTTAGAAATCATTTTTTTCATGTCCCTTAGTTTCTATTTTAGCTTTTAAATGAAGCTGAAAAAATGTGTGAGGCAATTAAGTATATTTGTAAATTTTTTCTGATATTTTTACCAAGATAATTTTGAATTTAAAAAGCTGTTTTCTAAGGACCAAAATATTAATTTTGTTGGACAAGAAATAGACAGTTTTGTAAACGAGGGGGAGGGGGGTTGCAGGGGAGGTTGCGTTACAATCTGGTAACAGAAACATCGGATTGAATTTTTTGTTTTCAAAATGTAGAAATAATCATGAAATGATGATAAAATAATTTAAATGAACTAATAGCATTTAAATATATTTAAAACAGAGAAACGTATGCAAAGGGTTCTCAAAAATTCTTTAAAATTCTTATAAATTCTTTAAAATTCTCATAAATTCTTTAAAATCCTTATAAATTAAAAATTCTTAACGATTAAAAAACTAAAAAAAACTAAATTTGTCTTTAAAAAACAATGAATGAATGATTGAAAAAAGCGTACACGCCCATCTCTAGTAGAAGAACATTGAGCTTTTTTTACACCCACGAAATTTAGAAAAGTTAAAAGAGTTAAAGAAAATCAATCAATTGATTTTTCATGCATTGTTTCATTTTTAAGGTACAAGCCTTCCAAGGAACTTTTTCCATAAAGAGACATAACAAATGTTAAGAACCTGCTGTCTGTTGATAGCCTGGTAAATGTTGATATTTGATTATCCATATCCTCCAGGGAAGACTGGGATCTGCATCTCCTAATCAATCAATTAATCAGTAAATCAATCAATCAATCAATCAATCATCAATCAATAAATATATCAATTAATCAATAAATAAAAATAAGAATAAATATAAAAAAGTTAAAGGTAAAAATATAAAAATTGTAGATAAACATAAAATATTATATATAAATAACAATCCAAGTGCCCGGCGTTGCCCATGGAAATAAAAAAATTGAATTAAAAAAATTATTTTAAAAAAGAATTTATTAGCCTATGTTACCCCCAGGCACACATGGTTCCCTCAAAAAATGTCAATCAATTTAGTTCAGCGGTTTGTCCAGCTATAGCTAAGCTAACATAAACACATATATATATACAAGCATATATTTATGAGCTAAGAGCCTAATTATATAGATATAACTAAATTGTTGATATTAACAAATTAAAGATATCAAAGATTTAAAGTTGTGCAAAATTTCAGATATTGATAATAATACAATAATATACTTTTACAGAATAATAATGTATGATGTTTAGCCAAAAACAAAACATAATTAAGGTTAATATACAATGCAAATTGTAAATTTAATAATTTTGTTCTGATTTACATGCAGATAATAAATCAGCTCTCCTTTTCAGTAATGCATTAATTGAATATTGATATTGATATTGATATTGATATTGATATTGATATTGATATAGATATTGATATTGATATTGATATTGATATTGATATTGATATTGATATTGATATTGATATTGATATTGATATTGATATTGATATAGAACTAACCTTGCCTGTTTAGATCGTTTATTTCTCCTTGTAAGCCTGGCTTGCTGTTTGATAATCTCAACTGCAGATTCTGTGCTAGAGTCAGATAACAGGTCAGAAGCTGAAACAATTTGAAATTTAAATTTATTTCTATTTGTTTACTTTTTTTATTATTTTGACTATTTCTATTTCTAAAGTATGGTTTTTTCATACTTTAGAAATTGTTTGCTCTATGAGCAAGGTTGTATAATAAGGTTAGATGGACACTCTAAACCCTCATATGACGTCACTGCTTATCTTAAAGATTAATAAATGTTGCAGCTCACAAAATATAAACGAAATCTTAAATAGAAAACCTGAATCAGAATTGCATCTTGTAAGCAAGATCAATATGTGTTAAATGTGATGATTGTTAGTTTAGTATCAACTTGATAATTGAGCGTTTGACGTTTATTGGATAGAACCAGGAATCAAAAATATGTATTACTAATCAATGATTGCTTCAAATTAATAATTATATAATATATATATATATATATATATAGTTATATAATATGGTGCTTAAGTGATTCTTCCAATTATTTATTTATTTCCAATTATTTTCCATAATTTATTTTCAAAGAAAGTTAAACTAAATTTAGTTAAAATAAAAGATGTCACTTTCTATACTGAAAGGGATTGTGAGCGTATATATAATGATGGCAACCTTTATCTGTTGTGAATTGGGCATTGCAATCTTTACATGGAGGGTCACTTGAAATTACTTTACATTCCAATTAAACTAAATTAAGCTTTTATTCAATTTTCAATTTTCTGATTATCACAATTTCTGAACCTGATGTTTTTCACTTTTCACTTTTGATTTTTGATATTTTAAATCAAGATCCAATTGTCAAAGTTTGAATACTCATACTCAGTTCAACTACCTTACATAGCCGGTCTGTTCCTTAGATCGAATTTAAAACAATTGACCCGAGCAAATTTTTCTATTTCAAGTTTTGTACATAACTCATGCCTAGTCTTACACATTTTTATTATTGCAATTTTATATTTTTAAAGAAAAAAATATCAAATGTATAAGGTGTGTGTGGGTTTATGTTTATATATTTACTCTGTAAGCTGTACTGTATATTTAGAAATATTTGTATTTTCAGTAAAATAACTTTTATGTTTTTGTATCAGACTAGCACAGAATTTATATTCTTAACACACTTTACCTTTTTCTATCTATCTATCTATCTATCTATCTATCTATCTATCTATCTATCTATCTATCTATCTATCTATCTATCTATCTATCTATCTATCTATCTATCTATCTATCTATCTATCTAAATATTTCTACTGTAGCCTACATGTAGTCCCAATTCAAGGACTATATGTTATACTGTTATTCCTCTCTGAAGTTCTGATTCGACCGATAGTTTTGAGCCCCAGGGGGGGGGGGGGGCAAAACTACTGTATATACAGGGAGTTTTTCTAGTAGGTACAATGTCAAAAATGGGTGGGTACTGGGTAAAAAATGTTGCTCCTTAAATGCCGTTTTAACCTCCAAAGTATGCCCAATATTGAAAAATGTACTTGGTCTCTTTTCCTAGGGTTTAAAAAAAAATTCAAACAACTCTTTTTATCATTCTTAAAAATCCTCAATCATTTAAAATTAACAATTTATTCTTTTCTGTTGTTTAACCCTATCTCTGCTGGGGTACTTGAAAACCAGGATATGCGGGGGGGGGTCAATTTGACCCCCCCTCCTCTAAATCCCATGTTTGATGTCCAAATATGACAAATGATACATCATTGGAAAGCTCTTGTGCTCTACTTTTAGAATCTGCAAAAAAATTTGCAAATTTGCAAAAATTTAATTTTTCATGGCAAAATCCAGATATATAGTAAAAATGTTTGCAAAAAAAATTTGTCCAAAGAATGAAAAATTATACATTTTTGAAAAGCCCTTGACCATGCCATTTTAAATATGCAAAAAATTTTGCAAAATTTTAAATAAACTGATTTTTAATAAAAAAAACTAAAAATGTGCAAATTTCCTTTGATAGGTTGTTTGCAACAAATTTGCAATTTTTTTTCGCAAAACTTGTGCAATTCGTTTCCTTTTGTCAAAGGCTTTCCAAACAGCTAAATTTTATCAAAATCTGACAAGTGGAATTGGGTTAAAACAAAGATTTAGTTTGTTACAGGAAAAAGCAGTCATTCAGGCAGTGTGCCTGAGGACTCAGGCAGTTAGTATTAAAGCCCGGTTTTAGGCCTAAAGGGAGGGCTTTGGGTATGTAGGAAAAGTCAGAAAATTTCAACAGCATCAGACCAATACTTTTTGAGTTATGTAAAAAAAACTACAGGGGGGGGTCTAATTGACCCCCCCCCCAGCAGGAATAGGGTTAAAATGTTAAAATAAAATTATAATTTTTTTGAAAATATTTAAAAACAAAGACCGAGCACATTTTCGAATTTAAAACCTACTTTTAAGGTTAAAACGGCATTTTAGAGAAAAATGTTTTTCAAAGACCCCCATTATTAGGCATTAAACCTACTAGGATTACTTTTTAGAATAATAAAAGTTGGATAAAAAGCGTAAATGCAATTTTTTCAGAGGCACCCCATCCCATGCATATATATATTTTTCTGTTGTGTAAAATTTCGAATTGATTAAAAGTGTAGAATTCACAATTTCAAAGAAGGAAATATATTTCGATTTTTTTTTCATTATCAGTAATCCTTAAGAATGAGAAGCTAGTTTTGTTTTACCTTCTCTACTGCTATATCTCCTGGATCGTCTAAGGGTAGCAAATTTGTTCAACGTATTCTCTTCCGTAGAATCTGTCTCAGAACACATGGAGAATCTGGAGTTTTAGATTTTTACAAATTGGAATCCTTTTTCACAAAATCAAATTTTCGAATCCCTATATCTTTGCAACCAGATGGTGAAACATTTTGATATTTTAAACGTAGAAAATTGAATCTAACTTAACAGTATTCATGGTTTGAAATATTCAAAGTTTCCGACGTTATGTTGTATAGATATGTATAAGGATTAGAAAATCAGAGTTTGTGGCAAAGACTCGATTCCTTTGGGAACTATGGTAAGTAAAACATCTTTTTGGTATTTAAATTCAAGAATTTAGGATTTTGAATTAAAAGATAAGCTATATGGGAAAGTTATCAAAGAATAAAATTAAAATTGGGATGAATTTGTGGATGATCAAGTAAGTAAATGAAATAAATGAATGAATAAATGAATTTAACCTCTGCGTATTCCTGCCAAGGGTTTGAGTATGAGTAGGATGCAGTTGCCGGGATATGCTGCTGATCTCTAAAATTATTATTTTTATTATTTAAATAATATAACTAGCTTGGGAATCCAGCTTGGCCCAGGGGAGTCATAGTTAGTACCATCGTTGAACTTTACGATTGGAGCTATTTTTGGACCCACATAGCTTAGCATCCAGACTAAGAACATTCCCGTGGGTCTCCCGAGTCTCCAATCAAAATTTGAGGCAAATCAGTCCAGGGGTTCCTGAGTTATGATCGGACAAACAAACAAACAAGCAGAGATTACATCTTAATGTATATATATAATAAAAATTATTTCTAGATTCAAAACTAAATTATTTAACACTATATTATCGATTAAAGGATGCCAAAGTGAGGATATAAAGTATATGTTTTAAAAAAATGAAAAAAACCAGAATTGATCTTAAATGGACTGTGGTTGACATTAAAGCGATCGTTAAGTTAAAGATAGGCAAACTCAATTTAAACCTTTATCTCATTACTATTTTGGAAGATATCGGTGTTTTCTAGATTGGAAAGTGTTTAATTCTGACAATTTACTTCACTGCAGAAATAAAAAAAAATCACTTTACCATTAAAAATAAAAAAATTTTCAAAGAGAAGATGTTGGATATATCTTGCAGTGCTGGTCAACCAAAGCTTTAAAGTCTCTAGTGTGTTTTTAAACATTTGCAACTTACAGGGTGTCCAAAAAACGGAACTTAAGACATTGTAGGACTCAACTTGGTTCAACTTTTAAAATTTGTACATTTTTGAATCGTTTTAACATTTGCGAAAACCAAAAAGAGGTTGTTATCACTAAAATAAAGGAAGTATTAACTGTTTGAAGTTTGCCATTTTTTGGGACACCATGTCTGTGAAATTATTTTGTCTTAGTTAAAGTGTAAATTTAAAGCGTAGTTGGTAGTGATCCTTTATTTATAGAATGGCATGCCCGATTCACAACAGTACACTTTATATACCGCATTGTCTGATTATCAATCCTGCAGATGTACATCTTATGTGCACTCTTTGAAGGAAAGGGTGCACTAACAAGGAAAGTCTCTTTAAGAATACTTGTATTATTACTCACCTAAACTAATAGGGATTTGCCATTCTCTGTTGTGCGCAAATGCCCCGCAAAACTCCAAAACAGAGAGAGGGGGACTGAATTTTGTAGATCCAGAAAAATAATCAAATTAGTATTTAGGGTTAGGGTTAGGTTAGGTTAAGACACTTTCTGGGCCAGCGCTGCGGCTAGGACAGGCTAGGGGGCCGAGCGCTGAGGCCACATGTCTTATATTTAAGACCCAACCAGCTGCCAGTTTCTACGCAGGCATCCCACAGATATTATTTTTCTGGATCTACAAAATTCAATCCCCCTCTCTCCGCCCCGGAACTCCACAGGGCACCCGCGCACAACAGAATATGGCAAATGCCAAACTAATTGGGTCTGTAGGGCCCCTGATGTAAGGATATTTGTATTATTAATCATCTAAACTAATTGGGTCTGTAGGGCCCTGATGTAAGGATATTTGTATTATTATTCATCTAAACTAATTGGGTCTGTTGGGCCCCTGATGTAAGGATATTTGTTTTATCACTCACCTAAACGAATTGGGTCTGTAGGGCCCCTGAAGTAAGGATATTTGTTTTATCACTCACCTAAACTAATTGGGTTTGTAGGGCCCCTGATGTAAGGATATTTGTATTATTACTCACCTAAACTAATTGGGTCTGTAGGGCCCCTGATGTAAGGATATTTGTTTTATCACTCACCTAAACTAATTGGGTCTGTAGGGCCCCTGATGTAAGGATATTTGTATTATTACTCACCTAAACTAATTGGGTCTGTTGGGCCCCTGATGTAAGGATATTTGTTTTATCACTCACCTAAACGAATTGGGTCTGTAGGGCCCCTGATGTAAGGATATTTGTATTATTACTCATCTAAACTAAATGGGTCTGTAGGGCCCCTGATGTAAGGATATTTGTTTTATCACTCACCTAAACTAATTGGGTCTGTAGGGCCCCTGATGTTGTTTAAATTAAACCCCGCCAAGTGAACACTATTAGGTCTAGACAGCAATGTTTTAGTTGTATCAGGGGTCCGAACAAACGACTGAATGGAGTCTGGAGTTCTTATAAAAGTTTGAGACGAGTCAGGGGTCCTGATCAGAGATTTGGTCGAATCAAGGGTCCGACCAAAAGTTTGGAAAAGAGGAGATGAATAATCAACATCCTAGTTCCAGGAATACAATATTTCAGTCTGATAAAACTAAAGTTAAATTAAAGCATTGTTTTCATTAAATTTTCTGGTAAGTTTGCATTAACTCACATGAGTTGACTCCTGAGCTGGGAACTCTTGTATGGTGAATATCTGGAGATCAATGCTTGATCTCTATATTTAGATAATCTGCAGATTATCTAATCTTTATCTAATTTCTAATTGTACTTTGAAGGGATAACTAAAATCAAAAGTTCACACTGTCGATATCAAGATTTAGGATTATCAAAAACAAAAGTTCACAGCTCTGATAAAACATTTTATGTTTTATAAATATGATTTTTTTATTTACAATTCGTTTTATATTATAGTTTTTCCTTTTATAAGTTTAAATAAAACCACATCAAGTAATATATACATCCTTATGTAAGTACAAGAAATTAATCGAGTTTTTGTCACACTCTGATTTTCTTATCCCAATGCATTTCAATGTCAGAGACCTTAGATATTTCAAACTATGAATAATTTTAGATCAAATAATAATTGTTTGAAATATCAAAGGTTAACACCATCAGGTTGCAAAGATATAGGGATTTGAAAATCAGAATTTGTGGCTAAAACTCAGTTGGACAATAGATTAAATTTAAGAAAAGCACCATGAAATTATGTGGTTAAAAAGTTATTGTATTTCCTTGTCGGGTGGCTGTACATTTGGAGATCTGTACACGGCATATGGCACAGCATTGTACGGGGTTCCTAAAGGAACATAAGATATTTAATAAAAAAATTATAAATAAGTCCAACATAAAAACATTTAATGATTAGAACATTTCTAATTCTCAGAAATAATCCTTATTCTTATACAAAGTTTAGTTATAAATAATCTGAGAGATGCTTGACTTAGGCTCAGTGATATGAGTAATTCAGGTTTGATCTAAAAATGTTGCTTTACATGACGATAATTTGAAGATCTTGCTGAGTTGCTAGTTTTTAATTAGTTTTTTGCACATATTTTTGCACACATTTTTGCACATATTTTTGCACATATTTTTGCACATATTTTTGCACATATTTTTGCACATATTTTTGCACATATTTTTGCACATATTTTTGCACATATTTTTACACATATTTTTGCACATATTTTTTAAGAGTGTTCATATTTGGCATTGTTTAAAAAGGGAAATATTTGGAATGAACATTACTATGTGCTTTAGTTGATCTAAACAGGTTTCCAGCTTCCAAGTCATTCAAGTGTAAAGTCTGATCAATTGTTACCTGTACTTGCATCTATTCTCTGATTGGATTCAGCCTTCCTTATTCTTTGTATCGTTAGTGGGGTATACACATGTACATTTCCTGAATAGAGGAGTATACACATGTATAGTTCCTGAATAGAGGAATATACACATGTACATTTCCTGAATAGAGGAGTATTATTCATTTTCTGAACCACAGGAATTGAATCTTTGACACAAACTTCGATTCTCTAATCCATATGTCTTAATTGCAACCCAATGTCGTAGACCTTAGATATTTTAAACTATAAATTCTGTTAGATCAAATAATCTATGTTGAAATATCAAAGGTTTACATCATCAGGTTGCATTAGAATATTTGAGTTTGTGTCAAAGACTCAATTCCTTTATGTAAATACATTTGTACTGTTCCGTAAAAATGTGTATCCATACATATATAATATATATATACAATTCATTGCCATAAGATGATGTACACTCCAGTAAACACCTACGGACAGGGTTACCTGTAAAGGATGAAATTTTACTGACGACCAGTAACTCTATAAATTTTATGATCTGAAGGTTCAATTTCATTGTACACCTTGAACATAACTTTAAAATATACACTGACTCCTTTGACAAAGAAGGAGACAAGTTCAAGAAACCACTAATGTCTGAGAATGTAATTTTCATACAGTACACTCTCCAGTAGTATCATCCTTTGTGCGTACTGCGTAACCCCGTATGTTTAATGTAAATTTTATAAATAGAAACTCTTGTTCCCACAAAATATACAATTGCAGATGTGTTATTAAAGAAATACAAGGCTTTATTTTGTTTTAGTTCAAAGCTATAAACTATCAATCAAATTCTTCTTGAAAACCTAAAGAAGCTTAAAAAACGGCAATATCTTCAACATTATTGAATATGAATATGAAAATATGACTGCAATCCCTTTAAACATTCCGATATGAACGGTATATGTACTGTACCTGTACATATAGTGTACATAAACTGTATTGTACCTGTTAGTATATTGTATATGTACTGTACATAAACTGTACTGTACCCGTGGGTATATTGTATATGTACTGTACATAAACTGTATGACACCTTTTGGTATATTGTATATGTTTTGTACATAAACTGTACTGTACCCGTGGATATATTGTATATGTGCTGTACATAAACTGTATTGTAGCTGTTGGTATATTGTATATGTACTGTACATAAACTGTATTGTACCTGTTGGTATATTGTATATGTACTGTACATAAACTGTACTGTACCTGTTGGTATATTGTATATGTACTATACATAAACTGTACCGTACCTGTTGGTAAATTGTATATGTACTGTACATAAACTGTACTGTACATGTTGGTATATTGTATGTGTACTGTACATAAACTGTACTGTACCTGTTGGTATATTGTATGTGTACTGTACATAAACTGTATTGTAGCTGTTGGTATATTGTATATGTACTATACATAAACTGTACTGTACCTGTTGGTATATTGTATGTGTACTGTACATAAACTGTACTGTACCTGTGGGTATATTGTATATGTACTGTACATGAACTGTACTGTACCTGTGGGTATATTGTATATGTACTGTACATAAACTGTACTGTACCTGTGGGTATATTGTGTATGTACTGTACATGAACTGTACTGAACCTGTGGGTATATTGTATGTGTACTGTACATAAACTGTACTGTACCTGTTGGTATATCAGATAATGATTTAACTGAATACTGGTTCAGTGTTGGTGTATACCCAGGATAGGAAACAAACTGTCGTCTAAAATAATAAAAAAATACTTTTAGATAGAATAATAAAAAAATAAAAATTGATCATGTTATGTTATGGGTAACCCTACCCATAAAGGATGAAACTTTAAAGACGATTTCACAGAATTTATCTATTTATTTCCTTATATTAATGTTGGCCTGCATATTTCAGGGCTATTAATTTAACTTGAATTAAAAATAAAAAGCAGTTTCTTAAGAATTATCAAAAAAACTTAGGACTCTCGCGAGAACCTTCGAGATATAGAGAACATTTGAATCCAAATATTTTATAGCACGTCGTGCCAAAATAATAGTGTTGTAATTTTGTGTACTTGTCTTATTTCAAAGGCTCTTTTAAATCAAATAAGCTTTGAAACAAAGCAGAAGTCAGAATATAAAGTTTATTTCAATTTTATTTTCATTTCAATTGAAAAAAAAATATATTGGAAATATCATAAATTTTTTGGAGAAAATCTGGGAACTAATCAAAACTTTATAGTATATGTGCTATGTACAGATAATTTAACTTTATAGCAAGATGATTACTTTATAGCACGTTTATTATGTAATTCACGTTGAAGTGAGTAAGTATGATAAAGAACACTTATAGTTTCATCAAATTTTATTAAACAAGTCCAATTTTCAATTCTGGGTTTAAAATAGATAGACATCGTTATACATAAATTGTTTGTTAGTTTATAAAGATTGGTGGACTCAAGGTACTGATGCAAGGAAAAGTTGATTGCGGTTGTGTATACTCAGCGTAAATATTGATTTGAAACCAGTTCTCTCTGGGCGGAATTTGTGAACAAGGATAGATGAATCAGTGTTCGTCTAGTATCCGAGTAGAATTAAAGCATTTAATTTTGATAATTTTGATAATTCACATAATAGTTTCCTATGACCAGAATATTTCATTGATTATTTTTGTGAAAATGGATTCCATGTCAAGCTGTAGAATCCGTCTTGTGTTTACTTTTCCACCCAAAGACAGTACACTGCAGTACACAAAAAGCGCACACCTCTGAAATAAGTTTCCTTGCATTACTACCTTGGTTGAACTCAGATATTCATAAATGGGCATCTTTGTGTAGTTAATGGAAACCTTTTCTTCAGAGATTATATATTCATATCTTTTATATGTATTCACAATATCTTTATACTAAAGTACAGGAAAGTAACCTGAATAATTAACCTAAACAATTGTCTATCGTTCCTTACATTTAACTCGGTATGCTCCCCCCCTATCCCCAGAAATAACTATAGTTTACAATTTTGAAGGTTTTGATTGAATTTGAAAAACGTTGAATTACAGACTTGCGAAAAGCCTTTGACTGAAAGAATTATAAACGCCGATTCCATAATTTTTTATTTAAATGTAAATTGCACTCTGTAAAAGGCCAATAAAAATACAAAGACTTAATTAGTTGAACCATGTTTATTTGAATTCAGTTTATGAAGAATTTCTGCACACAGAAAAACACAGGTCCTATGCTTTTTATTAATTCTAAAAAATGTTTTGAAACTCATTTATCATAAATCCTATATCATAAGACGTAGCTAGAAATTGTTATCTATTCATGCTTTTTTTTTTTTTTTTTTTTTTGTCTGTTAAGCTGTATTTAATAAACGTCAAAACGGCTGAACCGATCAGGCCCAAACGCACATGACCCCTAGGCCACTTTACGGACCGTAACAAAAATTTTGACATCTAAAATTTTTGAAAATTACAAATTAAAACATAAAGTTTCGCGAAAATTTGAGAACGATTACAAATGGCGACTTTTAAAGAAACAGGGGCGCAAAGCAGCCTTAAAACTTTTGTTGTATTTAGAAAACGGTAACATATCAATCGTGTTTTTGTAACAATAAATCTTAGAACAATTTTCCATCTGACTTGGTTTAATGAATTCAGGGGAACTCTGTGCAACTCCATGGAACATACCAAATTAGAGGTATTAGGTACTTTTCCAAAGGCATTTTCCCAAGTAACAATTTCCCAAGTGGAAAATTCCCAAATGTCCAATTTCCCAAGCAGCAACTTCCCAAATGTGCAATTTCCCAAGCAACAACTTCCCAAATGTGCAATTTCCCAAGTGGCAACTTCCCAAATGTGCAATTTCCCAAGAGGCAACTTCCCAAATGTGCAATTTCCCAAGCTGCAACTTCCCAAAGGTTAGGTGCAATGGCCCTGTGAGGCACCGCATGCTGCCATGGGGGCGAGCACTGTGGATAGAATGGTCTAGCGGGCAGAGCGCCGCGGCTAGAACATACTGGGGGTGGGGGCGAGCGATGCGGCTAGGACAGTTGCCACTTGGGAAAATACCCCCATGGGAAGTTGCCACTTGGGAAAAATTCGTTGGGAAAGTATCTAACATCAAATTAAACAATCCTGTTAATCCTGTAATCCTGGTTCAATATTTCCTTTTATACTGCTGGCTGAGCGGTCATCTACGCAACATCATCTTTGAAACTCATGTTACTAAACCAGCTGGTTACCTCTTACAGACCAAGGGAAAGGAAGGAGAAGGGGGGCCGGGGGAGGGGGGTTACAGTAATTTTTAATTTTTCAACCTTATAAAGTTTTCAGTTTAAAGGGACTGGGGGAGCAATTTACATGTGGCTCTCCATTTACAGAGTGACAGAGTCCGAAACTTTTAAACCTTTTCGGAGCAAGGAGAAAAAAGATTGTATAATTAATTTTCTTAAATAAGCTGAATTGATAAAATTTTCAGAATTAAACATGTTTAAAAATAGTTAGATAGAGCTCGTCAGGTACTGTCATAAATCACTTTTTTTTTAAAAAGGGTCCTGTAAACATTTTAACATATTAAACACTCTACCTCTTAAAGCAGTATATTGAGAGGAGAAGGGCAGTAGAGACAATTATAATTGAGAGAATTATTGGTATAGCCAGGGAACCATCGACCTAAGGATAATCAATCAATCAATCAATTAATCAATCAGTATATAGAGAGGAGAATGGAAGTACCGACAATTATAACAGAGAGAATTTTTGGTATAGCCAGGAAGCCATCAATCTAAATACTCAATTAATCAATCAATCAAAACACCAATCAATCAGCCAATATAAAGGAGAAGGACAGTAGCGACAGTTATAATATAGAGTAATGTTTATATAGCCAAGAAGCCATCAATTCAAACACTATCAATAAATTAATCAATCTATAAATCAATAAATCAGTATATTGAGAGGAGAAGGGAAGTGGAGACAATTATAATAGATAGAATTATTGGCATAGGCAGGGAACCATCGACCTACGGATAATCAATAAATCAATCAATCAATTAGTATATAGAAAGGAGAATAGAACCATCAACCTAAATACAATGAATAAATCAATTGGCTAATCAATTAATCAATTAATCAATTAATAAATTTATAATTCTATTAATACATTCATTAATGAATCAATCAATCAATTTATCAATGAATCAATATGTTAATCATTCAATTAATCAACTAATAAATTAATCAATCAATTAACCAATCAATCAATTAATCAACCAATCAATCAATTAATCAATTCATTATTTAATCAATTAATCAATCAATCAAGATATCCATTACTCTATCAATCAAATTAATAAATAAATCAATCAAGCACATGCCCACCTGGTCTGTAATAGTCTGTTGAGTAGTTGATGACCAGGGAGGGAGAGTATGACCGGTCAATGTTAATGTTGCTACATGCCCGGTCACAAGCCTAGAGTACAAACATTTTTCTAATTCTGCAGTACGTTTAGATGTAAACAAACAAACCTGTTTCCAGCAGTGTTTTGAGCAGTTAGTTGAAGAATATAACGAGTTGATGGAGATAAATCTGATATAAGGACATCTTCTTCAGCANCATAATTTCAAATTGTTGAAATCCATGCAAGATGATGAATCAGTTCTCAGAGCCTGGTCTGTCGGAGGTCGATGTAAATTCATAAGGAAGTCAAATCCTGAGAAGATCATGACAGCTGTCATTCCCTTCTCTACACCTAGTGGTCCCTTGTCACCAGGGATGTAGTGAATCCTTGCTCCCAACCGCCACCCTCTATATTGCGTCTCTCCAGCTCCCTTCCTCCGTTGTCCACCTTCAGCTTCTTGCTCTATAGATCCTTTTTATCCCTGCTCCATATTTTACCGCAGCTGATCCTGGTTCCATTTTTCTTCTTAGTTTACTAGTAGCTATTCTTGATCCTATGTTTGGAAGCAGTAGCTCCATAGTTCTAAAGCAGCAGCAGCTAGAGGGTTCTCCGTGTTCTTAGTAGCAGCTTCTAGGTTCAGTATAGTTCTCAAGCAGCAGCAACTACAGGGTTCTCTGTGTTCTTAGTAGCGGCTCCTAGTTTCAGTATAGTTCTCAAGCAGCAGCAGCTACAGGGTTCTCCGTGTTCTTAGTAGCAGCTCTTAGGTGCAGTATCTACACAGCAGCAGCACCAGGGCAAGGTTCTTTGTTTGTTGGTCAGCAGTTCCTTGATCCAGGAGCGTCTTAGCAACAGTTCCCAGTTTTCAGGTTTCATGGCCGATTACAAACCTTGAATTCTAGTACGTAATGTTTTTATACTCTCATCTCTTATTAAATTCCCAATTCATTACCCATCTATTTATGTTATCTTTCTGTTCGTTATTTCCTAACTTTTTTACTCTTTTACTTTGTTAAAAGACAAATGTTTATTCTTTTGCTTAGTCCTTTACTGAATTGATTTTGGTTTAACAATCTCATTCTTGTGTATGCTTTTTTATTGTTGCAGCCATCAGTTTCACTTCAAACCATTCCTAAACATTAATTTTTTTATATGCCTCACTTTTATTCTTTTTTTTTCAGTTTCCTGGACGACGGGAGTGATTGGTGGTGGCGGATTGACGTTTTTACCAGGATTTAATTATGATTAGTGATGATTTATTGCTTAGCTCATTAAACGATGATAGGAAATATAGTCTCACTGCAAACCTTTCAAATGATTTTAGTTTTACTGACAATAGTTTGAACCTGAAAGATAATCCTTATGATCATATTGATCTTAATTGTTCTTATTATGACTCTGTTAGTTTTGGGGAGAAATACTCGAACCATAAAGGTTCTTTAATTCTGAACTTTAATATTAGAAGCCTCTCGGCCAATTTCGGTGAATTTAGTGATTACATATATGAGTTGGAAAATCTGAATACTTTTTTTGATTTAATTGCCATCCAAGAGACTTGGCAGGTTCCTTATCCTGAATTGTTTACTCTTACGGGGTTCCAAAAACTTGTTGGCAAATTCAGATCTAATTATAAGGGTGGCGAAATATGTCTCTTTATACGCCAAGGTCTAAAATATATAATAATTGATCAATTCTCAATCTTTTCCGAGCATTGTTTTGAATCTCTTTGTATTGAAATTGAATACCCTACGGGTAAGAAAATTAACTTTATCTCTCTTTATAGGCCTCCGGGCAACCACCCGTTTTTATCGCAAACTAATCAACTAATTGAGTTTTTAGATATTTTTTCAAACCTCACCTCAGCTATAGCCAATTTAAATTCAGATTTTTTTATACTAACCGACAGTAATCTTGACCTCCTGAAAATTCCTTATAGTCCAAGAATTAAAGAATTTTTTGAAACTGCTCTTGGTAATGGTTTTCTAAATGTCATTACAAAGTCAACCCATTTTACTGATTCCAATTTCTCTCTGATTGATCAAATATTTACTAATATTAATGCTTCTAAGTTTGATGCTGGTGTTATTGTTAATCGTATCTCAGATCATTTCATGACATTCTCCGAAATACCTGTTAAGCGCGTAAGCATTTATTATTATTTAATTACCTGATATTACTAGAGAGTACCCTCCAAGTGTCCTGTGTAAGTTCCCTGTATTGTACAACAAAGTAATGTACAGTACAACCTCCATCTGGCCAGCCGTACAGGTGGAGTAGAATACTTGTACTGTTCACTGTACAGTACATAGATCAGTAATATTAAATAAAATAATCAAAAATATATGAAAGGGATGTAATTGAGTTTATCGGTTGAAATTGCTTCTTTTTACTGTGGTTTTTCCGTGTACTTTTGTTCCAAATTTTTTATATTACTTATGTGCTGTACTGTAGTGTACTGTACACTACTGTACTGTCTTGTACACTACTGTACCGTACTGCACACTACTGTACTGTACTGTACAGTACAGTACTGTACACTACAGTACAGCACATAAGAACTTAAGATTTCGCGAAATGGACAGTTTTGCTTTTAACTGTTTTCTGGTTGAGATTGATGCTGGAGTACAGAAGAATAAGAAATAAAGAATCTGAACCTCAATCATCAGAACTATTCTCCCTCAATAGATAAAACATGGCACAGTTCCAATTTACTGACCGAGAGAGAAGATGGCAAAAAATATACAATTTCAGGGTGATTTTGCCCCATGTTTTTATCACTAATAATGTTGTGTACACCAGCTTTTTCTTTAGCTATAATAGTCATTTTTGCATTATACTTTACACATGAAAAAATTGCAATTTGAAGGGCGTTTCTTGTGCCATGTTTTATAGCTAATAATGTTACATTCACCAGTTTTTCCTCTTGCTTGGGAGTCCTTTTTTGCGTAATGTTTTTAATAGTGCAAAAAAATGAAATTTCAGGGCGCTTCTTGCCCCCTGTTTTTATCATTAATTATGTTTCGTTCACCAATCTTTTCTCTAGCTTTGGAGTCCTTTTTTGCGTAATGTTTTTAATAGCGCAAAAAAATGAAATTTCAGGGCGCTTCTTGCCCCCTGTTTTTATCATTAATTATGTTTCGTTGACCAATCTTTTCTTTAGCTTGGGAGTCCTTTTTTGCGTAATGTTTTTAATAGTGCAAAAAAATGCAATTTCAGGGCGCTTCTTGCCCCTCAGATTTCCTCTTCTATATGGTCCTTACTTATTATATGTAAAGTAAGTTACTTAAAGATTGGACAGATTTGGTTCAGCTGTTTTCTTGCTTAATGGTATCAAACTAACAGAGAAAGAGAACGTCCAGCTAAAGTAAATTGTATTGGAGCTTGAAATCTGATATGTTTTCGACCATAACTTCTTTTATAAATAGCTCTTGAGAATATTAAAAATTATCTATATTTCTAATATATAACCGGATAAACTTGCTTTTCTCCTACTTTGCGTAAATAAGAACTAGAGGAGCTACTATGTCACAAAGTCGGACTAGAAATGTTCTACTCCTGTCTAGTTTGCAGTGAGAGAGAGAGAAAATATATAAAAAGAGAATAGAATATTTTATTATACAATTATACATTACACTAATGGTTTATAAAGCTCAAGTGTAAAGCAAAGGGATTAAACATGTTGAAGAAGGGATTAATAGACGTGAAGTGGGGTTTAAGGATAATTGTCTGTTGTTTAGAGGAGGAGGGATGGGGGGGGGGGCAGATTATTTTATATATTTTTTCTTTTGGTCCAGGTTACATTTGTCAAAGCCGAGACATTCTTGATAGATAGCTTGGTAGGCGCCAAGATGTAGGGGGGAGAGGGTGAATAATTTCTTAAAACTAATCATCCACTTTACAAATTAGGTTCACAGTAAACACTGCAAAAATAGATATAAGATGTCTCAAAGGAATTGAGTCTGTGACACAAACTCTGATTTTATAATCACCATATATCATGGCAACCCAATATCCATTAATATTTAAAAACTATGAATTTTACTTTGAAATAACAAAGGTTTACTCAATCAGGTTTGCGGTTAGAAAATGTGACTCAATTTCTTTTCACACAATTGTTTTTATTAGGGTTTAGTTTACATTCCTGTAAGTGAAATATTGACAATCTGACAATAAACTGCATTCGATTTGCAATCAGTAAACATTTTGCCATAACAATCTTTTTAAGAAGTTAGAATAAAAAACAAAACAAAAATAGGCTGAAGTCTAACAATTTTAGGAGTTTATATCGCGACCAATATAAGTTCAATCTGATGTTCTTGTCTCGCAAAATTAATATAAAACCATGTCAAAGTTATACAGAAACTCATATATATGTGATATGGCCGACGGAGCCACGTGACCAGATACAGAATGGCCATAGGTGAAAATTCTGGTCACATGATACTGACGGAGCCACCACATGACCAGATACTGCACTGTCATTGGTGGAAATTCTGGTCCTGCTTAGACGTAACAACTATATTATCAATTATATCTATTGAAAATGAAAAATTATTAAATTCAAATTATAATTGAGCGTACCTAAGCTGTTAAGGCACCTCTAGGTTATTGGCATTTTCAGATTAGTTGCGTATTTACTTAATACGATATGTTTTTGACTTTGATTCCTATACCACATCTCACATAAAAATGATCGAGTTTTGGTATCTTACATTATACATCTATACATTATTATATCAATTTCTCGAGACAGTGACATTGATGCATTTCAGATACAATTGTTAATAATTTACTTACATGGATTTAAAGCCTACTTATAGTTGGTGTACCTGAGAGCATACTATTTAGATCCGGTATTCCCGGAACTGAACCTTGGGTCGAGGAAGTCAGGGTTGCGCTGGGTTTACTTCGTCCTAGGAAAATCAAGAATAGAGATGGGGATCATTTTTTGTTAAGGACCAACAATTTTCATAACGAGCAAAATTTGTTTTTGAAAGATGGTGTCGTTCATAAAAATTAAAGAAGAATGAACGATCAAATTGGTTGTTTAGTAAAATTCAAGAAAAGATTGCTTTTTAAAAACAAACGAAAAAAATAGTACCAAACAGTTTGAAATCGTTAACGACGTTCACTTTTTATGCATTGGTCAGATCATTCGTTCAAAAACTTGAAGAAGCAATTACTGAACTAACAAATGTTTGAAAACTAATTTTTTTTTACTGAAAATACAGTTTTTTTTCTAAACGTATAATTGAAAAATCGATTCTTTGTCAAGCAAAATCATTTGAGATTTTGTTTAAGTTATTTACTGGTCTTAAATCCACCGGGCTCTTACATTAACAATACTATGCTCCTCTCCTAGCAACAATTTCAGTGTTTAAATTATGCTTTATTAGTAGCCATTTTTCGTCGTAATTTAAAAATACACATCACTTTGCAGAATTTTTTATAAACATTAAAACATTAATGGATTTCGAAAATTTCAAAAAAAACTTTCTGGCAGATTTTTTCTATTTTAACCACCCATAACCCCAATGTGAGTTACCAACAAAATTATTGGATTAAAGTCTACCTGTATTAATTTTTTTGCATTTTTATTTTTAAATTTCAATTATTTTTTTTAAATTCTTTAAATAGTTATATGATATCAGATAAAAATATTTTTACTTTTCTACATTTTTTTCTCTTCATTTTCTTCTTGTTTGTACATCTTCAAAATTATATTTCGGCTAATTTAAAAAAAAAAAAAATGTATGACATCCTTGCAGTTTATCCTTGCTGCAAACTTTAGAACCAAGTTAAGATGCCTTCTTTCTATTTCTACCTACCTGTAATAAATAAAGGAAAGTCTAAATGCAATTATTGGAGGAAAGTCTACCTGTAATATTGGAGGAAAGTCTACCTGTAATATTGGAGAAAAGTCTACCTGTAATATTGGAGGAAAGTCTACTTGTAATATTGTAGGAAAGTCTACCTGTAATATTGGAGGAAAGTCTACCCATAATATTGGAGGAAAGTCTACCTGTAATATTGGAGGAAAGTCTACCTGTAATTTTGGAGGAAAGTCTTCCTGTAATATTGTAGGAAAGTCTACCTGTAATATTAAAGGAAATTCTACCTGTAATATTGTAGAAAAGTCTACCTTTTAATATTTATGAAAGTTTACCTGAACTAATGAAGGAAAGTCTACCTGCAATATTGTGCGCCACCAGATTGACGAGGAAGGTTGACCCGCATGGTAGATCTTGAAGCGTAAAAGTCAAAAGATCATAATCCAGGGATATTTCAGTCCAGTCAGATCCAACCATCTTATAGTTTAAAAAGTAACCTGAAAAAGGTTTAATATATAACCAGAGCTGAAAACTTTAGTATGGTGAATACCAAGATTAATGCCTAAACTCCTGGGTTTACTAAACCCAAGGTTATTTTAAAACGCATTCGATATCTAAGACAGAAGTTAAAAATCAGCGTGTCATGTTAAGATGTACTCTTTAACTTTTGAAACCCCGGTTTTGATTTCTGGTTTTGATGGTTTATGATTCCCCTAACAGAGGGAAGTTAAGGTAGTTAACGTTCCTTGGGACAGTTATGTAAAATAATCAACCGCTCTGCAAAGTTTACAAAAAAAAAATTGGACATTTTCATAAGAGATAAGATTGTGTACAACCACTTTTTCGGAAAATTGAACATTTGGTGGAATTCCCTTAACTTCCCTGTAAAGTAGTTGTAAATAGTTAAAATGAGTGTTATAAAATTGGCAAAAAAAAAACTCTGCAGCAATGGCAAGGGGATGTCGGGAAAAAATCTTTTCTTTTTCAGATTTAGTGTAACATGATGGCTGATGCACGAACAACAAGAAAAAATGGAAATTTAGAAAAACAGAGATGTCAAAATACTTTCAGCTGATATAATCTAATTATAGAATTTTGTTAAAATAAAAATTTTAAAAAAATTAATATGTTTAAAAAACCTTGAATGAGAGCTCCACCATTATGAGGAAGATGCCAGGAAATTGTTATAGAATCCAGGTCACTACTCTCTAACCTAAACATTAAGTTTAATTTTTAACTTTTTCACAATATTGCGAATATTCCGAATTAATTAATTCTAATTACAATTAACTATTATTTCCCTATATCTTTGCTACCCAGAGTAGTAGACCTTAGATATTTTAAACTATAAATTCTTTATAACGATTTGAAAATTTGAGTTTGTGGCAAAGAGTCAATGCCTATAAACTACAAAAATTGTTTTGGTTTAGTTTATACTCTAGAAAATCTCGAATTCCAATTTTTCAAAGTTACACTTTCAACAATTTTAATTTCAAAATAATTCGATTTAAAAAAAATATTTTTTGGATTTTGAGTTTGAAAAATTACCTTATTGTTGGAGCATTAGGGGCAGCTACAATATCTATAGAATAATGAATTCTATCCTCGCCAAACTCATTCTCAACCTACAACAAGGAAAGTGATTACTCGCCAAACTGGTTTGCAATCTACAAGGCAAGTGATTACTCTCCAAACTGGTTTCTACAATTAAGTAACTGATAACTCTCCAAACTGGATTTCAACCTACAACAAAGCAATAGATTACTCGCCAAACTGGTTTTCAACCTAAAACAAAGCAACAGCTGATTACTCCCCAAACTGATTTTCAACCTACAGCAAATCAACTTAATAAAATGTTATAAGAAGATTGTTGCATTTCAACTGATATATATATATATGGGCAACATTTTGTAGTTTAATTTAGTAATGTAATGGTAAGAAAACTGTAAAAAAGGTAGTCCATAAGGGTGGAGCATTAAAGATGATTGCGAAAAAATCGATGGAATTGTTTAATATAAATACTCTCTGTGACTAGTCTAATCAAGGGTGTAATGCAAGGAAAGTTAATTGCCTGTCGTGTATACTCTGCGTAAACATTGAAACCAGTTCTTTTTCGGCGGAATTTGTAAACAAGAATAGATGCATCAGTGTTCGTTTAGTATCCGAGGAGGTTAAAAACATTAAATTTTGATAATTTTGATAATTCACATAATAGTTTCCTATGACCAGAATAAGAATATTTCATTGATTTTTTTATGTGAAAGATGGATCCCATGTCAGGCTTTGACATCCGTCTTGTGTTTACATTACCACCCAGAGACAGTACACTGCAGTACAAAAGATGTGTACACTTCTGAAATAACTTTCCTTGCATTACATCCTTGGGTCTAATGATCTGTCAATGAAGTTTAACTCTGGCAAATGTAAAGAGATGCATGTTGGTAGGAGAAATAATCATTTCACTATGCTTTTAAAAACAGTTTTGACGAGCATAAAAATGCAGCCAGGGATCCAGAATGATAAATGATGACCTGACCCGCCATTTCATTCTTGCATGATGAAGGACCTTGGCGGAGAAACTATCAACATATCAACAAGGAATTATGAATGAAGAAAGAATATCTACCTGGCATGTTATTCTATCCATGTATTCAGATATACTTCTTATGATCAGACTTCCATCTAGACAATATATATTTTTCAGCAAGACTTTAGACGCAATTACAAGTAACCCTCTATTTTTATTTTGTCATGTCCGATACACAACGGTATCCTGGACACCTTTGAAAGATCAAGTCTAATTGAGATATCTTTGTTTTTGTCTAAACTTGAATTTTTATTTATTTTTCATTGTGGTTTCTCTTTAAAAGCGACTCGATCCTGGGTTTCAGTCGAGTAAATAGTTGACAGAACTAATCACTTTTAATGGTAGAAAACTGACGATATCTTTCACATTTATGATCAAATCAAGGTTTAAAAGTTACGTTACATTATATAGGAAAAGTTCCACTTTAAATGGAGTCACATGATCCTTAGTTTCAGTAGAAGTAAATATTTCCATTTACTGTTCCCGCCGATATAAGGATGTATCTCTAATTGGATAATGAGCTAGATAGAAAGATAGACGTTACCGCCATGCAATTCCTATTGGTTAGGAATAGACACAAAACACATGGCTGAACCCTGATTGGATCAGGCGCTAATGGACTCGGCATACTAGAGTGCAAATTGTGGAAGATATAAATTCTACGTTTTTTGAAGTTTATCTTATACGTTACTGAGAATCCGAATACTCAATACTTGTTCCATGTAAAATGTTCAATGAAAACCGGATTTCAAGTTGTCTCAGGAACATCTTTGAGACTTAGCGTTCCTAATCGTAACAAATTTGACATCAGGAGGGATTCGGAATGGATGAACAATCCATTTTAATTTTATTATTTATTAAAAGTTTTTTTGTAAATTTTGAAAGAATTTTAAAGGTTCTTAAAATATTTTGATATTGAAACAAACGAGGTGTGTATACTATTCGAATTATATAACAGTCAAATGTGTAACACAACCCCTTCTGCCTTACGTACATAAAGTGTACATAATTTCTTTACCTGGTTGTACAAAAAACTGCAACATACATATATATATATATATATACGAATGTCTTGTTTAATTAAATAGATTTAAAAAAGGGTTTTTAAGGAAATGTCGATGCGTAGTTTATAAGAGACTCTCCATTAAAATATCTTTAAAAAATCTATAGCTGCACACAAAAGTGAAAAAAATCGTTGTTTTCTTTTTCTAAAAATTTGTCATTTCAATTGCAATTTTTCCACAAAATCGACTTTTGAATTTATCTGGCATGGACAAGGAATTATCCGGAATATATTAAGTTAGAAAAACCACGATTAAATTCTGTAAAAAGGGAACTATTGTGCTGTGATTCATGTAACTTTTCAACTGTAGGCTCACATAAAATTACATAAAATTACAGTACTTTAAAGGATAAACAAAAATTAAACTTTATAATTGATTGTTAGATTTTTCTACGGTGTATTTTTGATAATATTGCCATCAGTTAAAAACCGGTTACTTTATACTTTTTTTAAGTCCATGCATTCTTTTGATATCCAATTCCCCAAGATTTGAAAAAAAATCCTTTTTTTAGAAACAATTTTCTCTAATAGAATGATAAATTTGATTGGTTCCTATTGCAGTTCGAGCAACAACCCAGAATTCATAATGTTGTCTTTCTCGAAGATCTGAGAAAGAAGTTGTCCAAAATAAATATTAAAATTTATTTTCCAATCATCTTTTTGAAATCAAAGTTTTTAAAGTTTTTTTTGGACGAAATTCCTTTGATCAAAAACTCCGTTTCTGTTGCTGCTACAGTAGTAGTACTGGTTTGCTAAAAAATTAAAATTATTAGTATTTCTTTCTATAATGGTCAAGCTGTAAGGTATTGAATACAAGGAAATTTTTTCTTTATACATTTTATTTGATATGAAAATAAAATAATTAATGATTATTAATTATTTAATTTTTCGTCCCAATTTTTTTTTTTACATTTGAAAAATAAATATTTAAAAAAAGACATGTGTGACCTATTTAGCTGAAAATAACAAATTTTGAAAAAGTCACTGAATTAATGGAGGAATTAAGTATTTATCTTCAAATAAAAATGCCCACATTGGATATCACGATCAAGCGTTTAAAGGTTCCATAAAAAGTGCACTGAAGCCTATGAATAGCATGTACACAAAACTTGGGTTAAGCAGCACTGAGTTTGTTTACATTTCTCTCAGAACAGCAGAATGCTTAGATGTAAACAAATTGAGATTCTTGGAATAATCCTTTTATGTCCTATCTGTGTAATCCTTGGTCCCTTACCCTGTCTACTTGAGTAAATATAGAATAGCTGAGAATATCTCCATTTCTCCAGGCAGGTGGCCGCCATGACAGTTTTATGGAATCAGCTGATACTACCACAGCTTTCACATCCTCAGGCGCAGAAGGAACTAAATTATAAAACATTAACTATAGGCCTGATTTTGAGTGATCGAATTAAAAAATGGATTTTTCAAAAGGAAATTAAAGGTATTGTAAACCTACTGTGGGACCCATAAAACTGTGTACTGTACTGTGATTTTGAATAATCCATTATTAAGCATGAAACACAGCAATTGTGCAGTAATATGAACACGGAGTCTTTTTCTTTGATAAATTGAATGTCTATCTAATGGTAAAACCAATTGCTTTATAACAATATAAAAAAACACATTAGAAAGTTAAAATGTCGTCTTCCTTCTCCACAGTTGTATGGGTTCTTCTGAAATCTTAAACGACCTTTTAAATTAAAGAAATATCATCTCGAATTGGACAAATTATGGGATTTTCTTGTTTGGTATAAATTTCCGGAAAAAACCCCGTAATTAAAGGTTTACCATATACAATTCTATTTATATTTAAAATAAGTGGTTTTACTTAAAACGACGTTACTATTTTCTTTGGATCAAATAATATTTTCTTTTGTCTATAAAATTTTAAAATCGTTTTTGAAATTGTTCTTACCGTCTTGCCCTGTTGTACAGATCAGTTTTTCACTGGAGACACCTTTCCCAACCTGGAAAATGATGCAATGTCATTACCACACTCTACTTAACTCATGTACAATGTACATTTCAATCTGAGCTGAACCGACCATACGGTCCTAGTTTGTACTGCCCTGCCCGGTACACCAACTACAATGGGGTACATTCGGCCTGGGTCAAAATAGTCGGCCTAGATCTGCATCAGGGCTAGGCTGGTGCAATTAGGTTGAAGTGCGGTCTGTTTAGCCTGCATCCGGTTAAACTTACAATTATTAAAGCGGAGGTCTAGTATGTTACATTCTGTTTGTTATTTCGTTATTTATTCCGTTGATTCAATTTACGAAGACAAACAAATTGGTGGGATTTCTCCACAAACAAAACGAGTATTTTTAAAAATTAAAGATGATTGTTATCAAAAAGATTTTTTTTGTATTTGAAAAGTATAAACGATATAGTTTCAGTTTCAACCAACAAAAAAATTAGCTCCCACAAACAAAACGATAATTTTCAACGAACAAACTATCGTTTTTAACAAACAAACCAATCGTTTTTCAACAAAACTTTTTTTAATTTTAGAATCTATCGTTTTTGTTTCAAAACTATGGTTGTTTAATTTCGTTTTGCGTATTTAAAGCTTCAAATTGTTCTATTTTGCGTATTAAAAGCTTCAAATTGTTCTATTTTGCGTATAAGCTTCAAATTGTTCTATCTGTTCTAAAACGAAGAAACGATCGTTCTTTTAGTTGTTTCAAAGACAATATCGAAACATCCCTACTCGGACTGAAAACAAGTCACAACATTTAGGAAAATATTTTTGAAATGTTAACATTTTGTAGTCGAGCTAGTTTGGTCTTATGCTTCTTGGGACCCTACCCCCCTCTCATCCTGTGACAGTAAGATTAAGCGTTTGATAGACATTGTATTGGCTATATCTACCTATTTATGTCACAAATTATACACCACGAGATGTTGTTTTTCTTTCTAACTTTCTTTATCAAAAAAGAAGTATTTTCTCCATGATTACATCTACAGTTCTTTAGATAGTAAACGGAAAAAATTGAATAAGTTAATCTTAAGTGATCCTCTTTATTTTTATCAGATTAATATTGTGGAGAAAGAACAATTGAATATATTCCGTTTTTACAATTAATTATAAACAGTGAAATCTTTTTCATAACTTGATCATACAAATCTTTTAGTTTTAAGGATACAATTGAGAATCGGGCATTGCCATTATTGCATGGCAGGAAGGCTTGAATTTATGCTTACAATCCCTTTAATGGATTAAAATATGTAGATTCGACAAAAATTGCAAAATCACTGAGATTTTGACAGTAAAGCAGATTGATGTAAAAAGTCTATGAAACAAAATTTTAACTGTTTGATATATCTAAAAATCCAAAAAACAAATTAGGCAAATATTTTCAAAATGCTAAAATTTCGTAGTTGAGGTGATTTTGGCCGAATGCTTCCTAAATCATGAGAATGTTTTTTTAGTGCCCCCCCCCCCCCTCCTTCCTTAACTGAAATATTACAGCGAATTATGATAGACATTCTATTGGCTATATCTTCCTATTTATGACAAAAATTTTACACCAAGAGATGTTGTTTTTCTTTCGGATTTTTGTAAAATTTCTTTTATGAAAAATGGAGTATTTTCTTTTAAAAAATCTAAATATCTACTTTATATTTGCAATTTAATAAGTTTGACAAAAAAGAAAGTAACAGATTATATAAGCCTAAAAATGTCAAAGGTCTTTGATATTAAATTGCAAAGATACCACGATTATAAAATGATAACGCTATTATAAAATGATAACGTGATTATAAAATAAAAGTTTGAGGAGAATTTTTTACCTTAGTAAAAGCTGCGACTTTTATATAGTAGCTGGTATAGGTTTCCAAATCAGTTATAGATGTGTATAGTCCACCCACCTTCACCTCTTTTATAGCATCTTTTCCTTAAACAAAAGTATATATGTAAAGGTAAAACTAAAAAACGAAAAACTAAATACCAAACCTTCAATTTTCAATACGATTTTTGTGTTGCTCATATTTTACGTAATACAAATTCTGATAATTTTGAAAATTCATACTAGTCACTCTTAAAGGGACTGTAAGCGTAATATTAAAGGGACCGTTCACTTATTTGGGTAATTTCAGGGTAAACTGAACAGCCTATTCGCTCTTGATTGGCAATAGTCTTACTTTTCAAATACAACTGTGGCCGGAGAAAAAGCCGATTTTTCGTTCAGAATTTGAGTGGAAAGGGACGGTCCCTCTCTATAGACACTATTTGATGTTTTTTTCAGTAACAGCAGCCCAATAACATTTAAATTTATTATATTTTAATGTCATTATGTGTTCGATATTATGAACTAAAATATGAAACTTTTGATAGTTGAGTTAGCAAGAAATTTACGTTTTTCGTATTAAAACATGCAAAATATGTATACAAAGACGACGTCTCTACGACAATCTATTAATCATTACTCGTATTTTGGTTCGTAGATTTTATAGATTTTGTTCGCGTATGTGCACAACTTTTCATTTGTCATGCCGCGTTCAATTCAGCTTTTTACACAGGCAATACACAATTTTGAATGCGATAAAATAGTGTTATTTTAGAAAAAGAAATTTAAAAAACAACAAAAATTAAAAAATAATGACATTCACAATTAACGATCAGGTACTACAGTTTAATTTTATATTCGAAATTTATTTTAATTCACAACATACTGAAAAAAACATCAATTAGTGACTATAGAGAGGGACCGGCCCTTTGCGCTCGAATTCTGAACGAGAAATCGGCTTTTTCTCCGGCCTCAGTTGTCTTTGAAAAGTAAGACTATTACCAATCAAGAGCGAATAGGCTGTTTAGTTTACCCTGAAATTACCCAAATAAGTGAACGGTCCCTTTAAGTGACTCTCTATGCAAAAAAAGCAATTCTCGATTTACAACGGAACCCTAGAAACCCTAGTCGTTTTTTTTACTCGAAAAGTGTTTATTTCTGAGAATTTCTCCATTGCTTTCTATAAGAAAGAAATGTGCAACTTTGCAGAGACACCAAAAATGAAATTAAACAGTTTAAATAAACTAAACCATTGATATATAATTCATACTTGATCATACAAAGCTTCTAAGCGAACTGTTGTAAATTGAGAGTTGTCATATTTGCATGCAGAGTCGCTGGAAATTACTCTTACAATCCCTGGAAATACATTTTACAAGAAATCCATCCCATTATTTCATTACATGCTGTAACTTTTAAATCTCTGCACCATAATATCGAAGATTTTTCAATCATAAAGCAATATATGTAATTGATCAAATATCTTGGTTATATCATTATAAGTTAAAAAGATATGGAGATTAGAAAACTAGGGTTTGAAACATGTACTCTTTTGTCTTAGATAGAAAAATATACAATAAATTTACAAGGATACAAATTAAGGCTTTTAAATTGTAGAAAGTTAAAAAATTAAGTTATATACAAGTTTTTGTTGAAGAAAAGTGAAGGAAAAATATAAATATATTTTTGTTGTCCCCCCCCCCCTTAATGTAATAAAAAGTTGTAAATCCAACTTGACCATGAAGAAAGGAACAAACAATCATATCAAATGTTTTCAAAGATTGTTCATCATTTGAGAAAATACAACTGGGAAAAGGAAAACATAACTCTTCTTCAAGATAATATATTTTTTAATTTGAGGATTTTCTTCACAATCATCAAATATTTTGACTGACAATGAAAATTTAAATGTTACAATACAAAATAGATTCTAGTACAATGTAGAATTTGTACACTCTCAGTACAGCTGTATTCTGACGTCACAAGTGTCAATTCAGTTTTTTTTAAATTTTCAATTTGTTTGTTTGTCGTTGCTAAAAGATTATAATTTGGTGCACGAGAGGGTGGAGAAAATAGAAAGAAAGATAGATAGTTAAATAGATAAATTGGAACTGTCTCACCTTGTTTACATTTATGTCTCAATAACAACAAATCAGGTTAATAATAATATTTGGCAAATATAAATATTAATTTTCGTCTTCAAAATGATACAATAGAATGAAAATTTTTGATTGTAACATCAAAACTTTACTTTTAAAGAGTTTTTGCAAGAAATGAAATTTTTCTTATTTCTATATCTTTGCAACCTGATGGTATAAACCTTTGATACAGAATTCATAATTTAAAGGATATACGACAACAGGTTGTAAAGATATAGGGATAAAATCAACAGAACTTGTGGCAAAACGTTTTGGCAAGTTCTTCCAGCCCTAAAATCTACGATTTAACACCACGTATAGCTCCTACTTTTTATTATTTAAATCCAAAGAAAAAATATTGTGTTTGCGCAATTAAGAAGCTCAAAGTCTTTGACCCCGCGGAAACGTTCTTAGTGTTTTATGAATTTCACAATCATGTAGTTAGCAATTTAGAGCTTAACATTTTTAATATTTCATTTGAATTGAACCATAATTCCAGTGTGCTTCGCGTCCAGACAATTTTTCAAAAATCAGACAAACTTTTAAATTTAAAGAAAGTTATGATTGTTTTTTATTTTCAAGAAAATGAAAAAAAACTTTAAAGCAGGGTTATTTTTTTTCGTCAGAACATTGACAACTTTTTCTTTATTTGAAACCCTTAAATTTGACTTAAGATCCAGGAATCTTTCTCCAAAACCTCAAGATCTGAACCCCCCCCCCCCTCTCCTCTTTGATAATGTTACCTCCAACCAAGTTCTCTCTTCTGTATGTAACTGAATATCCCAGGACTATTCCATTCATATTCTAAACACAACAGTTTTACACATTTTACAATTTTAAACACAAACATATATTTTACCAAATATATATACACCAATTCAGGATTCTACCCTGTGGGGGAGGGGGTAATAGATTCTTGAAGATTAAATGAAAAATTGAGGTTTATTGTTGGGGAAATTATAATATTAATAATTCCATATGCTTTCATGATTGTAAGCCAGAGTTTGAATTTAACCAATTTGAACCGCGTCCCAAATCCGCCAAAAACCTATTTCAATTGAACGCCGGCTTACATCTTGAAACATTGAATACAATTTTAACTGGAACCAACCATATTTGAGACGCCTCTCAAATTCTTTGAATTCGGCCTTTGATTTATAATACTTTAAACCTTTATTTGATTTCGTTTTATATTTTATAGTAAGTCAAAACTGACGATTTTTTAATCTTAATATATTTTCAACCTAATTTTTTAGACCTTTTATATTTCAAACTATGAATTTGTATTTATCAAAAAATCTTAATTTGAAAATTAAAGGTTTACACCACCAGGTTATAAAGATATATGAAATAGAAATTTGAGTTTGTGGCAAAGACCCATTTTCTTTAAGGGACATTACTAGTACAATTTTGTGACCTCTTAGCTACTCTATTTCTAATTTTACGAACAAACTCTCCTGAAAAGCAATTATAATTCAGAAAGAGGCGTTAAAAACATTTAAGATTTGATCTGTAATGGGGTGAAATTAACAAAACTACTTTACAAAATGTAATAATATATCCTGAGCCATGTCTAAAGAACATAAATCTGAAAGAGTTTTTTCATTTTTATTCCCAGCACATCACACCGCACAATTCTCCTGCTTTACACAACACAAATACAATAAACACAAACTTCTTTACAAGAAATTTATAGAAAAGTATTAAAACAAACATTTTTTCCTTCTTAGGTCTGAAATTTTTTACTATTAATTTTATCCGAAATTAGTATTCTGTGAGGGGCCGACAGTAAGAGTCAAAAACTTTAAAATTGTAACTGGCCAGTGTCCGAATTTAGTAAATTTGAGCCGCGTCTCAAATCCGCAAAAATCCGCTTAAACATTGATTACAATTTAAGTGGAACCAACCAAATTTGAGCCGCGGCTTAAATTTTTTAATTTCGGCGTCTGGGCTTATTACACAATTCCGATTTCTTATTGATTATTGTTTACTCTAATTTTATCTTCCTGCAATTAAAATGTGTTTAAAGATATTTAATTTTAATTTTTGATGACCATTATTTTTCTACACGACTACGAGAAAGCCGAAGAAAAAACATACAAAAAAAAACTTTCGAAGGGAAGGGTAGCTAAAGATCAAAGAGGGGTATATGCAAAACCAAATTTCGAAATCGATTGATATAAATTCTTTGCATCTGATGTTCCATGAATAATTGATTGGTTGGTCGGAGCGGAAAACTCGAGTAAAATCCCTTAATTGGTATATTAATATCGCAGATAAAAAACACCAATAAATTTTAAACTGTTTCTTAATGTTTGAAAAAATTGTGAATTGAGTTTTAGTCAATCCCTTTAAATAATTTGTATTTATTTCTCAGCCCGGAATTCCGTGAAACAAGTTTTAAAATTAGGATTTAATGGTTGAAAGGAACTGTAAGCGTTATTTCAAGTGACCCTCCATGCAAAGATTACAATACCCGATTTACAACCTTAATCTTATCAAAAATGCAGAAAATACCATCATATTTCTGTGTTTATTTCTGCGAGTTTCTCCATTGTTTCTTAAAAGCAACAAATGCACAAGTAACTTTGCAGAAAAACCGAAAATGAAAATAGTCAATTTAAAGAAGCAAAAACATTGATATTTAATTTAACCTTGATCAAACAACGCTTGTAAATCGGGCATTGCCAACTTAACATGAAAGATCACAAGAAATTACGAAAACAGTCCCTTTAAAGGAGATAGAGTAAAGGAATTATTTAGATATAGTTTAGTAAATCTTTCTACAGTTTGCTGTCCTTTAAGATTTATATATTTCGGACCATAGATTAATAACAATACAGATAGAACACTAGATGTCGTAATTCATTCACCATAACCCTGAGGCGGAAGCCAAAAGAAGTTGTGCGCATGCTCTCTGTCTGTCTTGTCATTCAACGCGGCAGGGTTGTTATGAACGAAAAACCCAATTAATTTTGAAAAGACAACATCTAGTGTTCTATCTGTATTGTTATTTATCTATGGTTCGGACTTTAAAACCCCAATTTTAAATCAAGATTTATGTTTCAAGAGATCACAGCATTTCAAAATTCAGATAAATTAGCGGTAGATACAAAATTTGCATTATTATAGTTTTCGTTCTGCTTGTTCTACCAGTGTTAGACCCTGTTCATCAATTGATTTTAGCTGCAAAGGGGTAATATAAAAATGCCTCAAAACTAAAAAAATAGTTAAACATTATCTGAAATCTGCTGTGAAATTATTTAATTTTTACTGTAAAAAAGTCATTAAAAAAATCTTTTAGGTCTAAGTGTAAATTGTTTACTACAGTGAGAACCTGAAAACTGTGGATTAGAAAGCGACATTAATTCTATGGAGTTACTTAGCGAATAGTTGTACTTTAATTAAAGCTTAAAAATCTCTTATTATGTAAAATATGTCTGCATACGTTGAATTTCCAACTTGAAAAATATATTTCAAACATTTCATGTTGTTATTTTTCTTGCAATGCTGAGTCCGAAAAATTGTTTTTAAACTTGTTTGTATTTTTTTTTAATAGTTTTTTTATCGTTTTTTTAGGTTTTAACGCACAAACCTCCGGTTGGCTGATTTCTAAAAATCATATATCAATCATATGATTATATATAGGTATAACTAACATCAGAGAAAACATTAAGGGAACCGTTGTGAATCATCCATTGACATATATCTAACCATTCCTTGTCCTACTAGCTAACTAACCTGAACTGGTGGTTTCCAGGATATGGAGAGCAGAGAAGGAGATACGGGTTCACATCTCACCTCTTCCGGGGGAGAACCAGGGACTGAAATATTTATATTCAGGAGTAAATATTTTGTTAAAAAATCATACCCCCCCCCCATTTCTGAACACATTTTCCCCCCTCTTTGTGAGAAAAGTACAGAAAAAAAAACAATTGAGTCTTCGCCACAAACTCTGATTTACTAAGTTGACGTAATGAATTCTGTTGATCAATTGATCTAAATTTGAAATTTCAAATGCTTACAACATCAGTTAGCAAAGATATATGAATTCGAAAATTTCTGCTTGTAGCACATATTTATTTCTTTTATGAGATAATTGAGCAAAATGTAAAAGAAAAAAGGCTTTTCAAAAATAAGTTGGCCTCTAAAATTTGGTTAAATGATTTGAATTTTTTAAAAATATCTAGAAACTCCTAAGCAAGCAAATTAATAGCTAATTTTTAATGTATTTTCATATGAATCTTGTAAAAACTGAAAAAGCACAACTCAACACAATTTTTTCCTGGCCGCCCTTGACGGGGGTGAGGAGATGATCACCTCTAGACTGTTTAAAAATTCTACCTGCTTCATGTGTACTGATGATGCTTCTGGAAGATGTAGGTCCTGCCCCAATACTAGGAGATCCATAGTTTAAATTTGATCCACATTTTTAAGAAATTGGGATTTAAATTGTAATCCATATATTAGAGAAGAAGGATAGTTCAAAACAGATCAATACTTTTGAGTAAATTGGATTTAATAAAGATCATATTTCAAGATCCATTTTCATATTTTTTAAGAAATTGGTATCCCATAGTCAGCTTAAATAGGACTATAGCTAAAAACTTAATCCACATTTTGGAAAATATTTTTTTTAAATATTACAATAATAATATCATAGTTCAAACATACAGATCAATTTGATTAGATGATATTAATACTTCTGATTGATTTTATAAATATTACAATAATAATATCATAGTTCAAATATACAGATCAATTTGATTAGATGATATTAATACTTCTGATTGATTTTAAAAATATTACAATAATAATATCATAGTTCAAATATACAGATCAATTTGATTATATGATATTAATACTTCTGATTGATTTCAAAATCGACCAACTTTTGATTAAAGTGTTTCTTTTCAAATAATTTTTTTAAACCTAAACTAAGAACAAACTAGGTCTGCGTGGCATTGTTCCATAAAAATTCGGGCTTTTTCATTAGATAAAAGTGTGCAAACAATAACAAAATATAAAGTAGAGCCAAGGGACCGAAAATGGGAAACACCCCGCCTCCGAAATGCCTAACTGTAAAGAAGAAAAGGATTGAAAATCTAAAGTTCGAAAAATTGAATTTGTAGATAGTGCATGTTTTACATCAGTAATTATACTTGTATATACAAGCACCAGCATGTATTTTGTGTTACTGTACAGTACTTGGCCCGTTAAAGGTACTAATACCGTACACAACTGACTATGTAAATAAACTACTGGATGTACAGTACAAGTCTGATATTTTACCTGGCCCGTTTTCAACTGGCAAATTGTCAACTGGAAAAATTGTCACCTTGCATATTGTCCACTGGAAAAATTGTCACCTAGCAAATTGTTAACTGGCAAATTGACAACTGGCAAAATTGTCAACTAACAAAATAGTCAATTATCAAAATGGTCAACTGGCAAAAGGTCAACTGGAAAAATCGTCAACTGGCAAATTGTCACCTGGCAAGTTTACCTGGCAAAATTGTCAACTGGAAAATTTTTAGCTGGCAAAATTTTACCTGGCAAATTGTCAACTGCCAAATTTGTCAACTGCCAAAATTGTTAACTGGCCAATTGTCAACCGGCAAAATGGTCAACTGGCAAAATGGTAAGCTGGCAAAATCTTCAATTAGCAAATTGTCACCTAGCAAAGTTTATCTGGCAAAATGGTTACCTGGCAACTTTGTCACATGTGATAGTGTCAACTGGCAAATCGTTGCCTGGCAACTTTGTCACTTGGCAAAATTTTCACATGGCAACTTTCCGCTGGTAAAGTATCTAACATTGTGTTAAGTACTTTGCCAGTGGTTAGTTGCCAGGTACCTAGTTCCCACAGACAAATTGCCAGGTACCTAGTTCCCACAGACAATTTGCCAGGTACCTAGTTCCCACAGACAATTTGCCAGGTACCTAGTTCCCACAGAAAATTTGCCAGGTACCTAGTTCCCACAGACAATTTGCCAGGTACCTAGTTACCACAGACAATTTGCCAGGCATAATTCTTAGCCATGTAACAATTTTACCATGAGACAACGTTGGGAACATGGGACACTTTGCCAGTTAACAAGTCTGCCTTGTGAACATTTTTCTTGTGATTATTTTGCCAGTTGACAATTTCCCATTTGACAATTTTGCTAGTTGACATTTTATGAACCAGCCTTTATAGATAAGCTGCGAACTGCATAGTACATGCTTAATATTTGGACCTGGCCCGTCCGATCAAATAAGCTACTAAGGTACATGCCTGCTATTTGGACCTAGCTGTGATAAATAAGCTTCTGATCGTAAGGTTTGTGAGTACAAAGAAACGTTGCATTTCAGATGTCCAAAACACTTCTTATTTCTATCCTCATGTTTAACAATCCTTGGTATAAATTGCCTGACTAATCTACATAATATTTATACAAAATGTGAACATGTTCTTCTCTAATTAAACAAATTTGTCTTCAACTTTAACTCTGTGCAAAACACCGGCGCTGGAAACTTTTGAAACATATCATTGCACAAAACCTCCATTCGTTTGTTTTCAATCAACGTTAATTTCACTAGAAATGGATCATTTATTAAGCGCAGTGATCAGAGAGTACAAAGATCTATTAAAGGCTAGAATATTCTCAATTGGATACAACAAGTTCTATTGTGTACAACTGGAGTACAAAGATCTATTAAAGGCTAGAATATTCTCAATTTGATACAACAAGTTCTATTGTATACAACGGGAGTACAAAGATCTATTAAAGGCTAGAATATTCTCAATTGGATACAACAAGTTCTATTGTGTACAACGGGAGTACACGACCAATCAGAAAACATCTATCTTCAGGGCTATTTAAGGATAAGAAATACAAAACCTGCAGAAAAAAAAGACTAAAGTCATAAATGTTATTTTTTATGCTCAAAGTTAGAGCGTTTCTTTAAATATTGTAAAACTTTACACCTACCTAAACAGAAATTATATGCGTCTAGAGGCCCTTAGATGGGTCAAAACATGTTGTGTGAATGCAGACAAGATTATTTATAGATAATTTTAAAAACATAATCATATCTACCAAATAGCCTTAACACACTTATGAAACCCGGTTCTGAAACCTCTTCTTAAATTGCGAACTCAGAGGGAAGAACAACTTGAATTCCAATTTAAAGTTTAATTCATTTTCTAAACAATACGTTATTTATGTCAAGAGTAAAATAAACAGTGTAATTACTTTGCAGTTAAATACATGTTTAAAAATCCGCAGTCGAGGGTAGTCCTCACATAACCAAGAAATGTGGACCAAAATTGTGTCAAATAACTTTTTATAGACTGTAAACTGCTTTATTGTGGATTGAGTCCAATTTTAGTTCTTGTTTGGCTATTATAAACAAAATTTCATGAAAAATAGTCTAATTTTACAGTAGTTTTACATTCGTTTTGCGTTTTATTTACATAAATGTATGCTCACTTTTTTATGATCAGTATTGAACTACGGAGAGCAATATTGTATGATCGGCATTTACTACGGAGTACGGGGAACCCTATTGTATGATCAGTATTGAACTATGATGAACACTATTGTATGATCAGTATTGAACTATGAAGAACACTATTGTATGCTCTGTATTGAACTATGATGAACACTATTGTATGCTCTGTATTGAACTATGATGAACACTATTGTATGATCAGTATTGAACTATGAAGAACACTATTGTATGATCGGTATTGAACTACAGAGATCACTATTGTATGATCGGTATTGAACAATGAATTTCACTATTTAATGATCTGTATTAAACTTCGGAAATCACTATTTTATGATCGGTATTTAACTATGGATATCACTATTGTATTAATCGGTATTGAACTACGGAAATCACCATTTAATGATCGGTATTGAACTATGGATATAAACCTATTGAAAGCGTTCACCATTACTTGATACTTGGTGAAGGGAACTAAGCCTGAGAGTCTCAATTCTGTAGTTGACACACTCCTGCATATAGATCATCTATCAAACTATACTTATCTATCTGTCTATCCAAGGTTATAATGCAAGGAAAGTTAATTGCAGTTGCGTATACACTCTGCGTACATATTGAAACCAGTTCTCTCTGGGCGGAATTTGTAAACAAGAATAGATGCACCAGTGTTCGTTTAGTATCCGAGAAGGCTAAAAGCATTACATTTTGATAATTTTGATAATTCACATAATATTTTCCTATGACCAGAATATTTCATTGATTTTTTATGTTAAAGATGGATTCCATGTCCGGCTTCGAGATCTGTCCTGTGTTTATATTACTGCCCAGAGACAGTACACTGCAGTACAAAAGAAGCGTACACCTCTGAAATAACTTTCCTTGCATTATAACCTTGTGTCTATCTATCTATATATCTATATGTCTCTCTCTCTCTGTAACCATGCATCTTTCTATCTTTATAACTACTTTTAGATTGTTAGATAGTTAGCTGAAATAATAGATATAAATAAAGGTAAATTATATAGATAGATATATAGCTAGATAGATGGATATTTTCATGCATATATTTATCTAAAAGTAGAATCTTTGGTTCTACTGTTTATATATTTGTTTGTCCATTTGCCCCTTGGTTGATTTGTTGATTTAATTAGCCAGGCTGAATCTAATTAACTAGATAATATCCTAGTATATATCTGTAGTGTATACACCCTACTCTTCGTTTATCTGTTTATCTAAATCCATTTATTTAGAAAAAAAACTAGAATATACATTTTTTAGCATTTTAAGTTATAAATTAAACATGAAAGTAATGGACAGTTTGAAAATAAAATATATTTTAAAAAGATTACTTCTCAAGTTGATAACTTTCCCAGTAGATAACTTTCCCAGTAGATAACTTTCCCAGTAGATAACTTTCCAATTAAATAACTTTCCAAGAAGATAAATAACTAAGTAGATAAAACTTCGTAAGTAGATTATGTCCTTAGTAGCTATATTCCCAAGTACATAACTTCCCAAGTAAATAACTTCCCAAGTTAATATACTTCTTAGGTTGGTAACTTTTCAAATAAAGATGACTTCCCAAGTAGATAACTTCCTTGGAAGATAACTTCCCATTCGGATAATTTCCCTAATAGATAACTTCCCAATTGGTATCTTCCATAGTAATGGAATTCCACATTTTATAACTAGTATATAAATTCCCTAAGTTGATAACTTCCCAATTGGATAATTTCCCAAATATATTACTTCCCAAGTGGTTATCTTCCTTAGTAAATAAATTCCACATTTGATAACTTCCCGAGTATATAAATTCCCAAGTAGATAAGGCCCTTGGTAGATAACTTCCAAATTGGATAATTTCCGAAATAGATAACTTCCCAAGTGGTTATCTTCCTTAGTAGATGACTTCCACATTTGATAACTTCTCAAGTGGATAACTTCCCAAATGGATAAATTTCCTAGGAGAAAATATCCCAAGATTAACTTCATAACTTCCAAAGAAGATAAGTTCACAACTAACAGTATTCATTGTAGAGTTAAATACCCAATTTGATAATTGCTTGCCTGACAGTTTTCTTGGTAAGATGTTCCGAATTCAGCTCTCCATAACGTACACTGTATCCGAGAAGAATTCCATTACGGTCGTCTTCCCTTGGAGGCTAAAACAATCATTGTGCAATGTTTAGATGATAGCTTTAAAAGAAAACTAACAAATGCAGTTCAAAGATTAAGTTGGTAAGTGAACGTGATTGATTAGAAGCTTGAAATGGAAAAACGATGAATAATATTTGTACTTGTACTGTTTTGTACTTTACTGTACTGTTCTTTACTGTACTGTACTGTACTCTGCTCTACTGTACTGCACTGTACTGTACTGTACTGTACTGTACTGTACTGTACTGTACTGTACTGTACTGTACTGTACTGTACTGTACTGTACTGTACTGTACTGTACTGTACTGTACTGTACTGTACTGTACTGTACTGTACTTTAATGTACTGTACTGTACTGTACTGTACTGTACTGTACTGTACTTGTACTGTACTACACTGTACCTGCCAAGAAACTAGAATTTGTGTAGAGGAAACTGCTTCGACTCGAACAGATACAGGAGAACCAGAAGGAACTAAACAAACAAAAAATAATTGAATATAAAGGAATAGAATAGAACATAACAGAATAGAATTGAAGTAGTGTTTCCATCAAAAAAATTTGACGAACAAATGTTAAAGGGCACCTAGGGTATCCTTGGTGTAACATAGGTTAAAAAGTTGTTTTTTTTTCAAAATAATTTTTTTTTAAATTTTAAATTCAACAGAAAAGAGTGGTATAAAGAGAATAGAAAAAAATTGTGACTTATCAGCCACAATAGAGATGTCTATCGGTGCAGAATTTGAGTGATTATGTGTAAATTATGGTATTCGGTAAACATCTTTTTTTCACAGTTTTCTTTAGTTTGCGTCACTATTTCTAGACTATGTGGGGACAAAGTCCAATTCTGCTTCTAGTGTTTGAGGTAGTTTGATCAAATATTTATAGATATAAAAATAAATATTTGGTCAAATAACTTTACGTTTAATTTGCAAAATGTGGTTGATAAAGCTGATGTTCCTACAGTGTTTCAATCTTTCTCTTCAGTTTGCGCCACTATCTCTAAACGGGGGGGACCTAGTCCAACACTGTTAACACAGTCATATACAGTACCCAACATTTGAATTGGCCGGTACATAATGGTCTCCTGATGCTCCTTTGCTCACAGTACAAAATTGTTCTTGGTGGCTGTCAAAAGCTAAGATTGCTAGCTTTCTAAAATGTATTTTGAATTTTCTGTACCCTCTGTGAACACCCTTTTATAGTAAAATCCAATCAAAAAGTATTTTGTCACTGGCTGCTTTCTAAGAGAGACACAAGGATAAATAAAGATAAAGATCATGTATTCCGAGCATGATAAAGATAAAGATCATGTATTCCGAGCATGATAAAGATAAAGATCATATATTCCGAGCATGATTGCCTGAATCTAATAATTTTTTTTACCAAGTTATAGTCCTTACATCCCAGAGTCGCTGTGAAATCAATTTCTTTGAGAGAAAAAAGTGTGAAGTATATGGTTTTTTTCGACACCTTTCTCCTGAAAAACATGGCCAATAGCATGCCAAGGAGGATCCTGTTGGAAAAAGGGATAACTAGATACTGGCCCTATTGTGTATTTGTGTTTAAAAAAAAACTTTTTACAATTTATCAATTTACACTCATTTCAGACACTGGCCAATTCAAATTTCGGTTCTGTAGTTTACCAAATACTGCGTAAAGGAATTGAGTTGTTGCCACACACTCTAATCTTCTGACCCCAATATCTTTGCAACCTGATGGTGCAAACCTTTGATATTTCAAAATTAGATTATTTTATCTATAAGTATTAATAGTTTGAAATATCTAAGGTCTACGACATTGGATTACAAAGATATATAGATTAGAAAATCAGAGTTTGTGGCAAAAACTCAACATCTTTGCGTAGTTTACGTAGTTTGGTTGATAAGGATGTTCCCACAGTGTTCCTACCTTCTTCTTTAGTTTATGTAGTTTACATAGTTCACGTAGTTTACGTAGTTTGGTTGATAAGGATGTTCCCACAGTGTTCCTACCTTCTTCTTTAGTTTACGTAGTTTACATAGTTCACGTAGTTTACGTAGTTTGGTTGATAAGGATGTTCCCACAGTGTTCCTACCTTCTTCTTTAGTTTACGTAGTTTACATAGTTCACGTAGTTAACGTAGTTTGGTTGATAAGGATGTTCCCACAGTGTTCCTACCTTCTTCTTTAGTTTACGTAGTTTACATAGTTCACTTAGTTAACGTAGTTTGGTTGATAGGGATGTTTCCACAGTGTTCCTACCTTCTTCTTTAGTTTACGTAGTTTACATAGTTCACGTAGTTTACGTAGTTTGGTTGATAGGGATGTTCCCACAGTGTTCCTACCTTCTTCTTTAGTTTGCGCCACTATCTCTAGACTAGGGGGGCCTAGTCCAATACTGTTAACACTGATAACCCGGAGCAGATAAATGTTGTTGGGGAGTAGGCCATCCAACCTTAACAATTTCATTAGATCAATCAATTTCAATCAATCAATCAATCAATCAATAGATCAACCAATCAATCATTCAGCCAATCAATCAATAAATCGATCAACCAATGTATCAATTAATCCTTGACTTTACTTACATCAATTACTGAAAGAATCAAAATCAGATTCATAAACATTTCTACATAGCATTGTTAAACTTTAAAATATCCAATTTTTTACATATCAAACATTCTATCATCCCGTCATTCATCTATCTATCTACCTATTTATCTTTACATCAATATATCTATCTATTAATCTATCTATTCATCTGTTCATACTAATGTATTTGTTCATCTATTCATCTATCTGTCTATCTATGTGCTTACCTAGGTATGATACAATACATTTTAAACTAGTTGTTATTTGTTTAAATGGCAATATATCTATATATCTATCTATCTATCTATATATCTATCTATCTATCTATCTATCTATCTATCTATCTATCTATCTATCTATCTATCTATCTATCTATCTATCTATCTATCTATCTATGTATCTACCTGGTATAGCTATGCTCCCTTGACACGGTTATATTTCCTGCTTCCCTGAAATATATCATTTTACTGCAGTAAACAAGAATATAAAGAGATTGTGCAGTAAAATAGAGCTGGGTTGAAGGAAAAAAAGGATCTATTATTCAAAGAAAAACTCTACTCTTTCTCGATAATAAGGATCAAAATTTCCTCAAACTTTGCTGACTTGTTAGTCCCAAAGAGAATAGAATATATATTAGAGGGGAATTTAGAGAATCTCTCGTTATGCATTTTTTCAGTCCCTTTCAGCCTAAAAGGGAGTTCAAAGTGTACAAATCATGTAAATGTTCACAAATTATATGCAGTAGAGTACAATAATACAGTATGTTCCCTAGACTATCCATTTCAATTTCGAATTTTTTAAAGCTGTTAAATAAACTTTTTAAAGCCCTTATCCAAAATCAGTAACTAAAAACAACAATCTCAAAATTTAAAAAAGAAGAAAATGACAATTAAAAACTTTATCTTGTACTTAATCTAAAAGAAAAAATAAATTTTTTTATTGAATTCATGATTGTTTGTGGTAATCTTTGTAATACATTCAATAATGAAAGGCCTTTTATAAGTCTTTACTGGATTTATAATTTTGCTTTATATTTGCATATAAATTATCTACTTGTACCGAACTTAAAAAAAAGTATTTTTCCCTCTGCACTGAAAACTCAGGTTTGTTTGAAGTACCAGGGCGGCTATTGGGCAGCCAGAGCAAGCATGTACAGTATTAATATGTACATACTATGCATCAACATCAAGTAAGATAATTGTGTTTACAGTGAGTTCAATTTAAGATTAATACTATTATAAACTTAAATTCATTTGAAGTGTCGGCCCAAATATAATTACTTTTTTTAAAGCACCAGTCTGATGGGAGTGTATGCATTATCACCAGTGCTATGCAGGGCCCACTATAGTTTCAGTAGAAGTAGATATTTCCATTTAGTGTATAGCGCCGATTAAAAAATTTATCTTTAATTGAATGATGAGATAGATAGAAAGATAAACGTTACCGCCATACAATTTCTATTGGTTCAGAATAGACAACAAACACATGACTGAACCCTGATTGGATCGTGCGCTAATGGACTCGGAATACAAGAGTGAAGGTACCACTAGTCCTACTCATTTCGGATCTTGGAAGCAATATGGTAAGGAATGCATAAACTCTGATCTGACTGGTGCGACTATGAGTAAAAGTATATTTAAAACAGTGGCATACCTTTCTGACAACTGAATTAAATCTAAATGAAGATACCTCCAAGGAACGGCCTGTGGTTTAAACTGAACTAGGTAATGAAGCACGGGACTGTTTCCGTCAAAGGCTGGATACCAGGAGAGAACCATGGATCTACTTGTTAGATCAGATACATACAGGCTTGAGGGGGGTTCAGGGGGTTCTGCAAAAGAACAACATTAACAAGGATCAAATTAAATGAATTAAAGAGATCGCTTAGCTTAACTATCTTCATACCAACGGTTAAATTTCTGAATCACTGGTTCAAATTCCTATACATTTTTTACTTTGAATTAGTGATTCAGAATTTGTGACCTCTTACAGTTCACAAAAACCCTCTCCTGGACATAGATATTTAGTATCTTAGTTTTAATAATGATTTCAACATGAGAATATGATACTTTTTAAAGGGAGTTACCGGCAATGTATGATAGTTGAACTGGTACATTATTTGTCGTCGTTATTTAATAATTTTAAAAAATCGATTCTCAAAACGTAACCTACACCCAAACCATTGATTTTAAACGTCGACTTTGCGCTCAAAATCAGTAATTAAACATCATTAAAACGTTTTATTTGTCTTTAATGAATCCTAAAAAAAATATTCTCCAAAATTCTTCATTCTCATACATTGCTGGTCACTCCCTTTAAGTGATCTTAAATACTTTATAATTTAATAGAATAGAGAAATAAAAAAAGCAAAGAGTTAAAACTTCTTCCTGTTAGAAGGATAAAATAGTTGTGTACATCATGTTGGAGATCGAAATGTATACAAAAGCCCCCCTTTAAATTTTTTCGTGCTGAAGTGGTTCAATCATTGACTACATCTGAGGAGATTTTAAAATCAGTTTTGAATACAAAAAATAGGGAATATTTTGCTTAAGTAAGTGTAATCTGTGTGCATAAAAACCCTACCATAAACTGCAAGCTATACTGTAAGTGTAATCTGTGTGCATAAAAACCCTACTATAAACTGTAAGCTGTACTGTACAGAAAGTGTAATCTGTGTGCAAAAAACCTTACTTTAAACTGCAAGCTGTACTGTAAGTGTAATCTGTGTGCATAATAACCCTGCCATAAACTGCAAGCTGTACTGTAAGTGTAATCTGTGTGCATAAAAACCCTACTATAAACTGCAAGCTGTACTGTAAGTGTAATCTGTGTGCATAAAAACCCTACTATAAACTGCACGCTGTACTGTAAGTGCAATCTGTGTGCATAAAAGCCCTACCATAAACTGCAAGCTGTACTGTAAATGTAATCTGTGTGCATAAAAACCCTACCATAAACTGCAAGCTGTACTGTAAGGTACTGAGAACCAAACCGGTTTGATGCAAAGCACGTGTACTCTCTTCCATCTTGCCGTTGCACATTTCTAAACATATTTATGTATATATACTTCAAGAAATTCGGGTGCTTAAACCGAAATTTGTCAAGAGGTGGGGGGGTCTTAGCACTTGTGGGGTACTGAAAACCCACTGAAAACCATATATTTTAATAATCCAGGGGAAAGGCCGAGCACTTAAGGACCCCCCTCCACCCTTCCCTGTGTAAACCTTTGATAAATTAACTATAAAAACAAATGTGTTTAAAGAGACTGTAGACTGTAGAGTTGAACTTGATTCTAATTGACACTATTTTTAAAGGATTTACCCAATTTAAAAGAAAGAAAATGTCGCTTAAATCGGGTATGTTGACTCATTAAATGTAGTGTCACTTAAAATATCGTTGACAGTCCCTTTAAATGAGAAAAACAAGAAATCGAATGTAGACTATAATAACACGAATCATACTATTTTAATATTTTGAAAAGTTGTTAAAAGTTTGAAAGTTTTGAAGTTTAAAAGTTTTGAAGTTTACCTGATAGTTAAAGTGTTCATAACTCCCTCGCTAGAATTAGCAGAGGCAAAGGAAAACCTAGAAAAGGAAATTTAAAGGAGTTGTTTGTGAATTCATATTTTGCGTCCACTCCCTTTAGTGACACTTGATATTTTGAGTGCTTTACACCCTCCTTTCTAGTGAAAAGTGATTACTCACTGTGGACTAGGGTAATTTTAAAACTGAACGTTACAGAAAGAAGCCTTGTACCGACCTTAGTGAGGAGTACCGGCCTTCTTACTTCTTGTACCGGCCGGTCTACCTCATGTACTGGCCTTAGTCACGGGAAACCGTAGTACATTTGAATTTCCAAGCCGGGTCAACCTTTCCGGTCCCAGTTTGTACTGTATCGCCCGGGCATTGGGTAAACAAACAGACACTCCAAGGGACTACCCGGTGCAACAAGGTTGACGCGGTCAGACTTTAAGTTGAATTTACTTTTACTAAAAGGTGAGGGGTGCGTGTAGTGGCGTATGTATGGTAAGAACCAGCCTAATCCTATCCTATACCGGCTCGGTGTTAATTCCTATAAACTAGCTTAGTTTAGTATGAACGAAGATATGATTAAAAGCATGTGATAAATAAAAGATTTATCATATTTTATAGAAACATTTTTTTAAATATTTGACCTGGTGGGTTTCTTCTTATATTTTTTTTCTAAACTTGTTCATTAATTTCCAAATATTTTATTATGGTTGGATGGGTAGGGGGGTATAGGGGGGATTTATCATACTTGAGGGATTCGTTGGGGGAAGCAGAGAGTGCATACAAGCAAACATCAAAAATACACACTTCAAAATATTTTGTTTAACTTTCCATCAAATATTTGAGTGGTTTTCAAGACTGTTTGTAAATATTTTTTTTTAGATTAAGGGAAAAATTATTCTTAAGGAAAAAAAAACAAAGTTTAAAAGTAAATATTCGAATTTTTTACTTTTCCCAAAAATCTTTGAAAATGATTTCTAATTCTTGAAACTATAAACCCCTGATATATTGAGCAATAATAATATTCATAAAATAGTGTATATTGAATAATATATCATACCTACATTAGACTTCATATTGTAGGCATACATGGTTTACATTAGCTTTTTATGTACATATATGTTTATGTAAATTGTATACATAGATATATTAATTAGCAGCCGGTCTACTGCATATAATTATTTCTAATTGATATATCATGAATAAATATATAAAGATATATCGAATATGCTATGCATCCTTATATCCTTCTATCTTTCTATATTTATACATATTTTTAGCTTGTTTGATAACATTAGTTTTTTAAAAATGAACCACAAAACAAAAAAAACATTGTAATGTTATCTATCTATCTATCTATCTATCTATCTATCTATCTATCTATCTATCTATCTATCTTTCTATCTATCTATCTATCTATCTTTCTATCTATCTATCTATCTTTCTATCTATCTACAATTCTTCTAATTCTAACACTCTCAGAGCCGCGAAAAAAAACTCTTTTTGCCAAATTTTCGGTTTATTTAACCATCTTCAGGGCATATCCTTGCTTTATCTCGACCAAAAATTTACTATCTATATACCTATATATCTGTCTATCTATCTATCCACCTTTCTATCTATCCATCTATCTATCTATCTAAGAATATCCGTATTCATCATTTACCATTATAGTAGGAAGAAGGCACTTTGTGCATATGTACATATTCTTATAGAAAACATGACTATTCTGCTGTTGTGTGGGGGGGGGGAGCTTTCTAAAATAATAATATAAACTTATCTTTTAACCAGACTGAAGAGTTTAAACATCAAATCAATTCATTAAAGGATTGGTCTGCTTGAGTCACCTGTTCTGCTCCCCATTTATTTCCTGTTCCCCTCTTCTCCAAACTACACCCGTCCTGTTTCCCATTTATTTCCTGTTCCCCTCTTCACCAAAATATACCTGTCCTGCTTCCCATTTATTTCCTGTTCCCCTCTTCACCAAACTATACCTGTCCTGTTTCCCATTTATTTCCCGTTCCCCTCTTCACCAAACTATACCTGTCCTGCTTCCCATTTATGTCCTGTTCCCCTCTTCACCAAACTTTACCTGTCCTGTTTCCCATTTAATTCCTGTTCCCCTTTTCTCCAAAACTATACCTGTCCTGTTTCCCATTTATTTCCTGTTCCCCTCTTCACCAAACTAGACCTGTCCTGTTTCCCATTTATTTCCTGTTCCCCTCTCCTCCTAACTATACCTGTCCTGTTTCCCATTTATTTCCTGTTCCCCTCTTCACCAAACTATACCTGTCCTGCTTCCCATTTATTTCCTGTTCCCGTTTCCTCCCAACTATACCTGTCCTGTTTCCCATTTAGTTCCTGTTCCCCTCTCCTCCCAACTATACCTGTCCTGTTTCCTATTTATTTCATGTTCCCTTCCTCTCCCAACTGTACCTGTCCTGTTTCCTATTTATTTCCTGTTCCCCCCTCCTCCAAACTATACCCGTCCTGTTTCCTATTTATTTCCTGTTCCCCTCTCCTCCAAACTATACCTGTCCTGTTTCCTATTTATTTCCTGCTCCCCTCTTCTCCCAACTATACCTGTCCTGTTTCCCATTTAATTCCTGTTCCCCCTTCTCCCAACTATACCTGTCCTGTTTCCCATTTATTTCCTGTTCTCCTCTTCTCCTGATTATAAATGTCATGTTTCCCATTTATTTTCTGTTTCCCTCTTCTCCTAACTATACCTGTCCTGTTTCTTATTTAGTTCCTGTTCCCCTCTTCTCACAACTATACCTGTCCTGTTTCCCATTTATTTCCTGTTCCCCTCTCCTCCAGACTATACCTGTCCTGCTTCCCATTGATTTCCTGTTCCCCTTTTCTCCCACCTATACCTGTCCTGTTTCCCATTTATTTCCTGTTCCCCTCGTCTTCCACCTATACCTGTCCTGTTTTACATTAATTTCCTGTTCCCATTTTCTTCAAAACTATACCTGTCCTGTTTTCATTTATTTCCTGTTCCCCTTTCCTTCAAAACTATACCTGTTCCGTTTTTCTTTTATTTCCTGTTCTCCTTTCCTTCAAAACTATACCTGTCCTGTTTTTCTTTTATTTCCTGTTCTCCTTTTCTTCAAAACTATACCTGTCCTGTTTCCCATTTAGTTCCTGTTCCCCTCTCCTCCAGACTACACGGATTGGATGATCTCCGAAGGGGTTACAAACAAGTGCAGCATCCTAAAAAAGCAATTAAAGAATATTCTTTTTAATTGAAAACTTAACAGCTACAAATGTAATTTGAAGGGACTGTAAAGGAAAAATTGAAGGTTTGCCACAAAGAATTTAAAATGTATTTAGTCCCTTATTATTATATTTATGGGTTCCTTTAGAATTTTTTATTGTTAAAGGGACTGTAAAGGAAAAATGATGTGGGGTTTAGGCTGAAACCTAAGCATTTTAGGAGTTGATCGAGACCCATGAGAGTTCTATCTGATGTTCCTGTTACGAAAAATTGATATAAAACTGTGTCAAATTTATAGGAAAATTTATATTTATAATTTTTTTTATAAAAATAGTAGGTTTAAATAGATTATATTCAGCGAATATGCAACCAATCGATATCCCAGAGGAGCCTAAGTAACTCAGGTTGGCTCCTATTATTATTTGAATTAAATTATTTTTAATTTTTAATAGATATAATTAATTTAATTAGATATCAGCCTGTACCCCACATCATTTTTCCTTTACAGTCCCTTTAACAATAAAAAATTCTAAAGGAAACCATAAATATAATAATAAGGGACTAAATACATTTTTAATTCTTTGTGGCAAACCTTTTAAAAACATTTTTATTCTTCTTTAAAAAAGTGTTTTCATTGAATTTCTTTTACCTGGTTGACAATTGCCGTTCTGTTTGCTTTGAAGTGTTCAAAGTACACAGGAACTGAAATTAGGAAGTTTAGCAGACCCTAACATAATGTTCCAGAATAACTTCGAAAGTACAAACATTTTGTACTAAATACGAACATTTTAATAGAAGTTATGAACATTTTGTTCTAAATTACAAATATTTTGTTAGAAATTATAAAAAATTTTGTTCTAAATTACGAACATTTTTTTCTAAATTATGAACATTTTGCTCTACATTATGATTTTGTACTAAATTTATGAACATTTTGTTCTAAATTATAAACATTTTTTTCTAAATTTTGAATCTTTTATTACGAACATTATAATTTTGGTCGAAATTACAAACAGAATATTTAGAGATATCTGTATCATAGTTCTTACTATTAACAATTAGAACACAATTTTAAAAATCTTAAAACACTTTTACTGTTTAAAATAAATTATTTTAGTTCTTAAAAAAAAACAAATTTTTTAAATTTCATATTTCTGCGTCTTTTCTATTTTTTCAACCACAAAAACTAACCAATCAAGATAGAAAGCTTTGAACCCGAAGTTTCTTGAATTTAAATAACTCTAGAAAATAATAAAAAGAATAAAGAAAGTTACAATAGAGAAAATTCTAGATTTTCATCAAACCCCCGCCGTCCAGGCTAGAATTAAACTTCAATAATTTCATAATTAACAGTTTATAGAATAGAATAGAAAAGACTAAAATAGAATTAATCTAGAGAGAGTTTTAAAATAGAATAGACTAGAAGAATAGGAGAAAATGAATTAGAAAAGAATAGATCACAAAAAATTAAAGAATGAAATAAAAATTTTAATAACAGATTGTAGCAGAAAGAAACATTTTTCTTAAATTTAAATGATAATCTTGTAAAAATCCTGTAAACCGTATCCAGACTCTTAATATTTTAAGATGTTTAGTATTCCTAACCTGTACAATTTTACATCTTTTATAATGTTTTATTCTTCTTTTCTGAATCCATGTTTTTGATTTCAGAAGTTTCTCAAGTTTTGTTAGATCTTTACAAATCTACTAATGAGTAAATAGACGGNTCATCATCATCATCATCATCATCATCATCATCATCATCATCATCATCATCATCATCATCATCATCATCATCATCATCATCATCATCATCATCATCATCATCATCATCATCATCATCATCATCATCATCATCATCATCATCATCATCATCATCATCATCATCATCATCATCATCATCATCATCATCATCATCATCATCATCATCATCATCATCATCATCATCATCATCATCATCATCATCATCATCATCATCATCATCATCATCATCATCATCATCATCATCATCATCATCATCATCATCATCATCATCATCATCATCATCATCATCATCATCATCATCATCATCATCATCATCATCATCATCATCATCATCATCATCATCATCATCATCATCATCATCATCATCATCATCATCATCATCATCATCATCATCATCATCATCATCATCATCATCATCATCATCATCATCATCATCATCATCATCATCATCATCATCATCATCATCATCATCATCATCATCATCATCATCATCATCATCATCATCATCATCATCATCATCATCATCATCATCATCATCATCATCATCATCATCATCATCATCATCATCATCATCATCATCATCATCATCATCATCATCATCATCATCATCATCATCATCATCATCATCATCATCATCATCATCATCATCATCATCATCATCATCATCATCATTATTATTATTATTATCTTATTAATACAAAAAAGTTTACCTGACTGCCTAACTGCCTTTAGAACCAATGATCCGTTTGGATGAAATTGAATATTCCCATCAGAAGTTTGAACATACTCATATACACTATTCAGGTTACCTAGATAGATAGATATATAGATAGACTAGATATTCAGTTCGCTTTGCACCCATCTTCTATTTCAATTGTGAACATTTTCTTTTTGTTAACATTGAAAACAAAAACAAAAAAAATTTGCAGATTAAAAAAAATTATGGATTTTCAAAATTTTATGAAAAACAAATTTGTTTCAGGTTTGATCATCCATTAACCTTCCTTGGGGTCATGTGAGGTCCCAAACAAAACGTGGGTCCGATTGGTTCAGCCATTTTGACGTTTATTGGATACAATGTAAAAACAGACAAAAAGACAGACAAAAAAGCAAAGTATATAAATAGACAAATAGATAGATAGCGCATTGAGATTTAGGAATACATATCTATTTATTCTATCTATTTGCAGAATTTTCTATCATTAATACATTTCTATTTACTTTGTTAGTCAAAGTCGAGTGACATACATACGTATATATGATGTATCGTATACCGTTATTACGGATAATTATATATTATTTAATTGATCAAATCAGGGTTCAGTCATGTGTTTGTTGTCCATTCTAAACCAATAGAAATAGTATGGCGGTAACATCTATCTTTCTATCTATCTCATTATCCAACTAGAGTTATGAATCCTTTAATCGGCGCAATCAGTAAATGGAAATATTTACTTCTACTGAAACTATGGCCCCCCTCTCCCTTCTTCCCTGCTCCAGTGCAAGTTACACAGAACGAGAAGGTCAACGACGGTACTTGGACGACTTTGTGACCTCGTAGCTCAAAGGACGTACGAAGGGGGGGGGGAAGGCACCCCGCCCCTCCCTACGCGTGTCTCTCACCCTGAAGGGGGGCACCCATGTCTGATGAGTCCACTTGAGAAAATTACATAAATAATTTATTAACATTTGTGATAGAAGTGAGTACATGATCGAATAGGTTACATAGTTAAAAACGGTATCAACAAAGGGGGTTTTAAGGGGGGGGGCACACAACTAAAAATATTGCGCCCCCCCCCCCTACACAAATGCTCTGGCAGGCCCCTGCGTAGCTCCTTTGGTTTTAATTTTACGCACAAGTATGCCAAAAGCAAATCTATCCGGTTCATATTAGAAATAAAAATAAAATTTCATCTCACAAGCTCAGGAGGTGTGATATAATTATCTGACTTGTAATTTGCTTTGTTTTAACCTGGCATTCTTAAGTATTCACTTTATAATTTGTAAAATTTCATAAATGTTAAGCTTAAAAAAATATGTCAAATTCGGTATTTTGAAACACTGAATCCAAATCACTGTAACCCTCCCCTCCCCCCAAAAAAATTAAATACTGATTCCATATTCCATAAAAATTGAAAAAAGGTTAAAAATAATCTGTCTAATTTTTCTATGTCTTCTCCTCAGTCTTAAGTTTATCTGTAGTTTTATATTAACTTCTTGAGAGGGTACCCAAGGGCCAAGAATGGGAAAATTCTTAAGATTAATATAAAAGATGTGAAGAAAAAGTAATAATGTCGAACTAATTTGTCGCAAGTCCTTTTAATAAGAGACAAACATTTGAAAAGCTTCTTGTCCAACGAATACAATTCCTTAGTTATTATCAAGTTCAAATCTGCAAGAGTTTAGTGAAAGAGCTTATGGCTGCAGATAGCTTGATCTCATGTTAATAAATAATAATAATAATATTATATATCATTTATCATAGTTAGTATTACTAAGTCCTGTTAGGGAGGGGTTGCAGGAATGTCATGAGCCCCTCAAAATGATCTCCAAGTCTCTGATTCGTAGATGAGTATTTAAAATGACCTGGCGCTACCCCTATCCTTTAAAATAGATATTATATGCAATGTTTTTGGGATATTCAAGAAAACACTGCATAAATATTTAAAATTCAATATTCTCTTTATTTATTACTTCTATAATATCTATTCTAACATTAAGGGTAATGCCAGGTTCTTTTAAATACTCACCAGCGAATACCGAGGCTTAGAGTCCATTTTGCGGGGCTCATGACGGTCGTGCACCCCCTCCCTCGTCTTATATGAACTTGGCTCCTACTGGAAGTTCAATAATCTATAATATTTCATAATTTTTAATTAAAGTTTCAGAGCTCTAACGTCATATCAAATATCGAATAGGAGCAAGAAATCATTCAATCTATCCAAGGGGGAGTAGGGCTTACCCGCATTAATATATTTTTGTAGGAACTCGACTCATGCAAAATAAGGCATGTAATCGAGAAAAAAGTATAATATGCATAAATTCCATTAGATGCATTTAGTAGCCCAAGGTTTTTGAAAAACTTATGTTAACTTTTTTTAAGTGACAGGGAAAAAAAGGAAGATTGCAAGATTCCAGCCAAAACTGGGTATCATTATTCAATGATACAGTATATGGAAATACAATATATATGGAAATGTATTGCCTGCTTAAAATATTAACTATAGTGATTAAATCTGAAAAAAATAAAGTTTACTAATAATACTGACTTTATAGTGACTATATCTGAATGTTATGTATCTAAATGGAAAAGTATAGCATATTTACAAATAATGCTATCTGTATAGTGACTATATCTGAATGTTATGTATATAAATGGAAAAGCATAGTCTGTTTACAAATAATACTAACTATAGTTAACGATGGGCGCGTTCAGTAAAATCGATCTTTTATTAAAAGAAACTATAGTTTTTCATTTCTCTGAACGCTCTGAGTCGTTCGTTCATCATTCGTTTTTTTTCTGAATGATGCACATCTCTAACTACAGTGACTTTATCTGAATGATGAACATCTCTAACTACAGTGACTATATCTGAATGGTGCACATCTCTAACTACAGTGACTATATCTGAATGATGCACATCTCTAACTACAGTGACTATATCTGAATGATGCACATCTCCAACTACAGTGACTACATCTGAATGATGCACATCTCTAATAACAGTGACTATATCTGAATGATGCATATCTCTAACTTCAGTGACTATATATATCTGAATGTGTTATGGAAATGATGGATTGGGAGGGAAAGGGTGGAATAACAATAGAAGGAGAATAGAACTTATCTCGAAGGTAATATTACTCAATATTAGAAGGAAACAAAGATATTTCCAGAATAAGTTAAATATCTAAAAGGAATTAAGGCTTTGCCACAAATTGCATAATCTTCATATATTTGCAACTTAATGGTGTAAACATTTAATATTTCAAACATATATCATTTTATCTAACAGAATTAATAGATTAAAATATCAAAGGTCTACGATCCATTGGAAGTCTAAAGACCGAGGTTTTTTAAGTTTGTTATGTTTGTAAAATTTCTATTTGAACATGATAATTTCATATAAAATATCTCTGAGTTCTAGCAGTGTAAGAAACAAACAGATGCTAACTTGTTTTTGATCTTATCTACTCAAAACTAATAGAAAACTGACTTTAAACTTTGCAATTTGTTATGGTTCCAATTCTTTAGTTTTCTAATATTAACAATATANAGTAATAGGTTTTTAAGTTTTTTTTTACAAATAATAACATTTCATACATCTTTTAACTATTTTTTTTTCAAGAGTTTATTCCAATGCAACTTGGTTAAGTAAAAGAATATTTTTAAAAAAATTTAAACTGACCGGTCTTTTGGCATGCTTTAAAAAAAATAAAAATAAAACTCTAAATTATTATTTCTTAAAAGTCAAGAAACAACATGAAAATGTAAAAAAAACTATGGGTCAAAAAACTAGCGGGGGGCGTTTGACTTGTTAAGGGTTAAAAGGTTAGGGTGTAAGGGTACCCTAGCTTTTTGGGGCTAATCTATATGCACTCCTTCAGGATCGTACGTTTAAAAATACAACAGTCCAATTTTTGCAGCTTTGGTTTTTTTTTTTTGGAGGAATACAACATTTTTGACAAAATTAAATTTTATTTAATCTGAAAAAAATCTGTCAATGCGAGCTATTGGACCTGATCAGTCGTACTGGCGTACCGGCGTACTACGTTTATTAGAAACAAACCAAAAAAGTCAAATAAAGATAAAGAGACTCAACCCTTTATTCCACATTATTGATCAGATAAAGGATAACGTTGTGAATCTGGCTCTTTTTTTTCATGGAGGACCACTTGAAATTACGCTTACAGTCCCTTTGATACTTTTTTTTCATTTCCTGTTCCTGTTCCTGTTTGTGGTTCGAGTGAAGCAATGTGTAGATTTGTGTGTAGATATGTACACAACAAACTTACTTTATGAATCCAAGGGGAACAAGGACTATAGTAAACTAGAATTAAATGTTAATAACAAAATTTTAGAGGTTGCAACTTTTTTCAGCCCTAGAAAGGCTGTCCAGGGGGAAGGGGTTGTCTCTAAATCGAATAAAAACCCCTTAGAAAAATTCTTCGATTCAATATTTGAAGGCGCAATGCTGGTTCATTGTTCAAATAGTCCAAATTGTTTTCAGGTTTGCTCATTTGTTCATATTTTGAATTGTTACACTACAAACTAAACGGATGAAGACGTTCAAATTTATGCGATATTGTTGTACGATTTTGTGACCTCGCAGCTTATCTTCTATTTTAGCCCAATTTTTTAAAAATAGACACCTTCCTTCCTTCCTTTCTTCCTTCCTTCCTTCCTTCCTTCCTTCCTTCCTTCCTTCCTTCCTTCTTTAGATTGAAATCAACCACAACTTTAAACATAACACTTCTTATTGAAAAGCTATTTTGAAGAACTTAAATGTTTTTAATTACAAATATTAACCAAATAAATTTGTCTTTCTAATACTTGTGCGTAAATAAAACTTTAGACACCCCATTTACACAAGGTCATACCATGTATGTAAATTTGTCTTTCATTTTCTGTGTATTGGAGATCGTGTATCTTAGATATATCTAATTTACAATTTTCTTATATCTTTAAGAGTAGCGCTTTAATTAGTACATGATTTCTTAGAATAAATATACAATATACATTATACAATCTTATTATATTGCTAGCTGAAGGGCCCGCCGTTGCCCGGCCGTGGAAAAAAAGTTGAAATAAAAACTGGAAAAAAAAGTTGAAAAAAAATTAAAATTTTTTAAAAATTTGTTAGCCTATAACATCCCCCAGCAACACATGAGTGTCCACAAAAAATTTCAGCCCAATCGGTCCAGCCGTTTGGCCGGCTATGCGCAACATATATATATATACGAATGTCTTGTTTTATTATATAGATTAAGATATAGCGGTGTACGTAACTTCAATGGTTTAAAGAAGATGGTCTTTGGATGATAATCATTTTCAAGTTCAGGAAATGACAGAAGAACTTTCTGCCAATAAATGTTAAAGATAATATTTCATTTCATTAATCTTAAAGGGACTGTAAGCGTAATTTAAGTTGCTCTCTATGCAAAGATGGCAAGGTCATATTTACAACTGTACCCTTTAACTCTTCATCTGATTAAAAATGTGGAAGACATTGTCGTTATTTTGTTGGTTAAAAAATGCTTAATAGTGATAATTTCCTTTCCTGCAGTAGAAATGTACAAGTCACTTTTAAAAAGAAACCAAAATAATCAATTTCCAAATTTAAAAAAAGAATTGATATCAATTCATACTTGAAATTAGGCTTACAGTCTATTTAATGTATTCAAAGCTGTCAGTTCTTGGTCAGCCGTTTATATATCATCGCACAATCATTGGCCAAATATGGACAGAGGTCCATATAATTCCCAAAATAGATGATTTTCTCGATCCCAATATAATTTTTTTCCCCCAATTGTAATAAAAAGACCCCCAATTAAAAAAAAACATTTTCAAATTCCACTAACACATTTGCCCCCATTGCTCCCAATTACAAAAAATGCCCCCAATTAAAAAACATTTTTCAAATTTCACAAACACATTTGCCCCCAATTAAATAAAAATGACCTAAATTTTTTTAAATTATCATTTAAAAAAAATTTGCCCCAATTTCTTTCAAATTTTTCAATCCCAAATGGGATTAAAAAAGGAATTATATGGACCCCTGAATATGGATAATTCAAGTCATCTAATTTGTAAACCTTGCCAATTCAGAAAGATTAAAGGATAAATAAGCAACGGATCTATAGGAATAAAGTCTTTAGTCACAAACGCCGATTTCCTAATCCCTATATCTTTGATACCCAATGCCAAAGACCTTTGAGATTTTTATCTACGAATTCTGTTCGATTGTATAATCTAGATTTGAAATATCAAAGGTTTACACCATCAGGTAGCAAAGATATAGGAATTAGAAAATTAGAGTTAAAAAATACAGACTCAATTTATTTTTATATTCTGAATGCAAGAGAACTTTGATCGATACCAAATGTTTTCATTAACAAAGTATAAACTCAGAAACTGTAAACTGGTTTTTAAAATGATTTTAATTTGTAACAAACCCTTCACTAATGTATATAATGTATATCTAGCATCTATCAAAATGTAATTATAAAATACAAGCTTGGGAACCCAGCGCTGCCCAGGTTACTCATAGTTACTTCCACCGTTTACCCGCACTTGAACGATTTTAACGGGAAACAAAATTTTTGCTTTAAATGTCGACCCACTCAACTTAGAATATTAAAACCAATCTAAGAACATTCCTGTAAGTCTTCCGAGTTCCCCAATAAAAAGTTTAGGCAAATCAGTCCAGGGGTTCCTGAATTATGATCGGACAAACAAACAGACAGACAAACAGAGATTACAACTTTAAATATACAGATGAATCTTAAAGATGAATCCTAAAACCCACATACTTTGTTTCTAATTTTTTAGTTAATTTTAAAACATCAAATGAAAAATGAATAAAGTTCTAAAATCTTAAATTTAGCAATTAAATACAGATCCATCATGCAATGAGGGCCACATTCTATAACTTTTTTATCTATCAATATTTTTATTTTATTCTAAAAAAAATTTACCATGAATGAAACTGAAAGTAATGGCCTAATATTTCCAAAAGGTAATAAGTTTTTGCCACTAACTTAAATATTCTAATCCTAAAATTTTTGCAACCTACTAGTGTAAACCTTGGATATTTCAAACTTAGATTATTTAATCATCTAACAGAATCCATATTTTGAAATATCTAAGGCCTTCAAAATTGGGCCGCAAAAAATATAGAAATTAAAAAATCAGAGTTTGTGGCACGAACTCAGTTTTTTTCGTCATAAAAGCTAAGACAATGTAAAGAATCAATTAGCAATAATGATAATTCATTGTTACCGACAGCTAAATGTAAACGAATGGTGAAAATATGTAATTCCAAAAACATTTAAAGTAAGTAACTGCACGAACATGCTTGGAACGATTTGGAAAAGAAGGAACTGTCTTTTTTTTAAATTGTTCCTTTTTATCCTTTGCCGTTTCGTTCGTTCCTTTGATAGAGCGAACCTTCCCTAGGAACGATGCTCATCCCTTGAGCTGGGTGTGTTCCTGTTTTTTTGAACTCGTTCTGGTCCGTTCTCTTCACTTCAGTATATACCCGTGAAAGAGAGATCATTCCCCAAGAACATTGCCCGGCCCTAGTGATTTTAATAAACACTGAAAGGTAAAAGAAAAACAATTTCCATTTTATCCCGCCATTTCCAGGGAATTGACGTGAGTCATCAAAAAGTTGAGCCAAACTTAAACTTTTTATGATCCTGCCAGAACCAGATTTCAAGAAAAAGTTTTTCATACAGGGTGTCTCAATAAACATTGGAATTGAGAGACGACTTGAATATCGTCTTCGATTGCCTATAATTGATAAATGACATGGCATCCAAAAAAGATCAAAAGTCTAGTCATCTTTCCAACATTTTCTTTGTATTTTAAAAAATGACAGCTGTAGCTGTAGCTGTAGCGGTAGCGGTAGCTGTAGCTGTAGCTGAAACTTCAAGTGAATCTTAATTTCTAGCGTGGTATGTCCGATCTAAAATGTTACCCTTAGAATTTTGTCTGTTTAAGAATGAATGAGCTTTCCATGCTTTTCTTCTAAAATTTTATTATTTTAAATTGGTGTTTTCTTACCTGTAGATCTTCTCCATGATATAGTTGGTCGAGGGTTCCCTCCTGCTTGACAGTTGATAACAACACTCTCATGGTATACCACTGTCTGATTGGCTGGTTCAACCAACCAATGAGGACTCACTAAATAGATAATAACAATAACAATACTTTCACGCTATACCGCCGTCTGATTGGCTGGTTCAACCAACCAATGAGAACTCACTAAATAGATAATAACAATAACAATACTTTCACGCTATACCGCCGTCTGATTGGCTGGTTCAACCAACCAATGAGAACTCACTAAATAGATAATAACAATAACAATACTTTCACGCTATACCACCATCTGATTAGCTACCGTCTGATTGGCTGGTTCAACCAACCAATGAGGACTCACTAAATAGATAATAACAATATAACAATACTTTCACGGTATACTGCCATCTGATTGGCAGACTAAATAAACCAATAAGGACTCACTCTAAAAATTAACTCCTAACCAAATTATTTGAAGAAAACAACATTGCTTCATGAAAAACACTAAACCTTCTTATGCTTCGCGCAAAAGCCTTCTTATTGAATTCCGCAAAACTTTGTTTAAATTTTGCAAACAAATGTGCAAATATTTTGCACAAGCTTGGTAGTTTTTGCTGCATTAGCTGAGTGCAGTAGAATTTTGAATTGTTTCTATAATATTGTTGTGCTCGAAGTTTGTTTAAATTTTAATGTTCTGGAATCCGCTTTAGAAGTTCTCCATAGAGATGGGCATGTTTTATGTTTAGAACAACATTTTTAAGAACAAACGAAAAAAAAATTACAATAAACGAAAAAACTGAATTATTAAATAATTTTCTGAACCAACAATATTTACGAACAAACTTTTGAAAAACTATCGTTTTTTTACTGAATGAACGATTTTATTGAACGAAGGGTTTAACTGATCAAACGATTTTACTAAACGATTGTTCAATGATAAAATGAACGAAATTAATGGAAAATGAACAATAATGTTGAGAAAGAAAAATATACATTTTTAACTTTTGAAAAAACACCGAATGAACGAAAGGAAAAAAGGCTATCCTGCCCAACTCTAGCTCTCCTGGCTGTCTCAAACAATTAGAAATACAAAGAAATATAACTTAAAACTGAAAGATCAAAGCATACAATATGTACATACATAAGTACATGTTATACAGAATTACAAAAAAATTATATAAAAATTATTTTGGTGGACACAAAATTGCTCAGTATCCATCAGTTATAAGGCATTAGGTTAAAGGAGGGGGAGGGGGGTTGAATTGTAAAGTGGCGTGTCTGATTTACAACAGTACCCATCTAATCAGTGACATACATAAACAATAAAGCTTGTAATTGCTAATACATTTTTAACAAGCTCTTTTATCTTTCAGACATACTATTTGAAGGGACCGGTGTTGCGCGTGGAAATATTTTTTCTTTTTGTGAAAAAAATTTGTTTTATTTTTGAGATTAATGTTTACTTTAAAAAAGTCGCAAAAAATAGTTTTAACTTCGATCTTTTAAACTGGAAAGGGAAATCAAAATTTGGGATTGTCAGCTGATCTGCTGTTTTTTACACTGAACGTTAGTGTAGATGATCTCTCCACACTGTACGTTTTTTTATTTTTTTTTTATTTTTATTTTTTTTTATTACCGTGTACAGGATCACGTCAAATTATGTTTGCAAACTTTTTTGTAGAAATATTGAACTTATAGTACATGAGTATAAATTACCCTAATTAAAAACACTATTATTGGGGGAGAAGTTTTTTTTGTTTGAATTCTGTCTGTTTGGAATAATAATTTATTCCAACCCATTACAGTGCTTTATAAATTATTTTAATGTATACTTTTCTATGTTCTTGAGACTGAGCTTATTCTAAATGAATATAAAGTAAATGGAACGACCGGGGTTAAAAAGTTAAAATATGAAATATTATCATAATTTTGAAAAGTGATTGTTACAGTGGCATAATGTATTGTTATTATATTTTATATAAAGAAATAATTGAAATGAATGTGCATCCAAAGGAACTGAGGTCCTGCCACAAACATAAATTGTCTAATTCGTATAATTTTGCAACCTGATGGTGTAAACATTTGATTTTTCAAATATAGTTTATGTAATCTAACAGAATTATTATAGTTTGAAATATCAAAGGTCTACGACATCAAGTTGCACAGATATTTGGATGAAAAAGTAAAAGTTTGTGGCAGCAAGAATTCCGTTCCTTAGCAGCTTTTAAAGTTTATTCCACCATTTGCAAGCCGTGGCCTGGGGGTGGGGGGGACGGCTTTGGGGTTTCCAGCGAACGAAACAATTCGCAAAAAAAGCGAAAATTTTCGTTCGTATTTTGCAAACTTTTTCGCGAAAAATATTTTCGTGAAAATTTCGCATTTCGCGAATAATTTTCTAATATAAAATTTTGTCTTTTTTGATGAACTTTCGCAAACTTTTTGCATTTTTTGCGAAATTTTTGGATTTTTTCCGAAAAACAGATTGAAGTGAAATTTTGCAAAAACACGACAATTTTCGCGAGCGAAAAATATGCGAAATTTTCGCGAAACGTTTTTTCTTTTTTCGCTGGAAACCCCAATTGGCTGTTAAGATTTTTATACTGTTGCAAACTTTCAAATGATTATTTAGGAAACTTACTAAAAGTTCTGAAGGTTTTGACATGTCCAGTATCGTATTGATAAATTATTAAACTAAAACTTGAAAACAGTGAGAACTAGAAAACTATGGAAAACCAAGACAGCTTAAAAGCAGTACTTAATCAAATTTGATGTTTTTGAAAAGCAACTATTTTTACTGTAAGGCTCTTAAATCACTTATGAAGTAAATCGAAACAATACTAGCGATGCAATGTGGGTGCATTTTTATCTGATATCAATTGTGTAAACCATAAAAAGAAGTAAATAAACACATTTAATTACACATACATACAAATTATCAATTTTACCTTTAACAATAAGTTGAGCTGTAAAATTAGAGACATCTGCACTGTTTTCAGCTAAAACAAATATTCGTATCGTAAAGGGAAAAAAGGATATTTTTCTCGATTCTTTTATTTAATGTGTAATTGATTAATTGAATAATTGATTGGTTGATTGATTAATTGATATGAATTATTTGAGTAATTGCTTTAAAATTCTTTTTTTAAAATTGGCTTTTGATCTATTGATGAGTGGATGACCGGCTATGTATGGTAGTTGAGCAGAGTATGTAGTATTGTGGACAAATTATTTATGATTCATTTGAGATATCGCAAAGTCGACATTCAGAATCGTCTTTTTGGGTGACTACATTTTGATTATAGTTTTTTTGAATTATTATATAATAACAACAGAAAAATATGTCAAAATTATCTTCAATAATCTGAAGGCATAAATAGAAACAGGTTGAGAAAGTACAAATTATTAATTTTAAATTCCTTTTGCTCATCAAAATCTTCCTGTGAATTTTTGTGTTGCGCCAGTGCGGGCTGCACTGCAACATGATTTTCGGATACAGATCTAAAATCTAAATCATCTGATCGCGAATCCGATCTGAAATTTACTCAAGACGTTTTGGAATTACAAACATAAAATGGATATATTACAGAAATGGTTTCTGTAATAAGTATATATAAATTATCATACTTAAAATAAAAAGGAATTTCTTATGTTCCAAATATTGATTTGAAATGTGCTGCTGTTAAGCTAAAGAAAATATGCTGATACTAATTTATTTACTGATTGATTTTTTGACTGATTAATTGGTTGATGGCCTGTTTGATTGATTATTTAATTGATTTATTACCTTGACAGGTGTATGAACCACGATGGGCTGCTGTTAAGGTAAAGAAGAATAAAGCTACGACTGATTTATTAACTGATTTATTAGCTGATTTATTAGCTGAATGATTCATTGATTAATTGATATATTGCTTGATTAATTACCTAGGCATGTGTGTGGACCACAATGTGCTGCTTTTAAGCTAAAGAAGAAGATGCTGCTACTGAATGGATTGATTGATTGATTGATTGCTTGCTTACCTAGGCATGTGTATGAACCACTATGTGCAGCTGTTAAGCCAAAGAAGAAGATGCTGCTACTGAATGGATTGATTGATTGATTGATTAATTGTTTACCTAGGCATGTGTATGAACCACTATGTGCTGCTGTTAAGCTAAAGAAGAATATGCTGCTACTGAACGGATTGATTGATTAATTGATTGATTGATTGCTTACCTAGGCATGTGTATGAACCACTATGTGCTGCTGTTAAGCTAAAGAAGAATATGCTGCTACTGAATGGATTGATTGATTGATTGATTGATTGCTTACCTAGGCATGTGTATGAACCACTATGTGCTGCTGTTAAGCTAAAGAAGAATATGCTGCTACTGAATGGATTGGATTGTATCTGGACATTCTGAACACATTAAATAATAATAAAATCAGATTCTGCAAAAATATTTCTGAATTGTTTTAAATTGATTTTACTTCTTTTGTACATCTTGAGTCTGACTCCTCTGAACATTGTTTATACAAAACAGAATAAGAAATTTATTTTATTTTCAATTTTCTTTTTAATCATTATTTCCTTTGAAGCCTCTAGTTGGTTTCCATTCTTCTCCCAACGAATAGAAATAGGTAGATCTCCAGAAGAAATTGTACAGGACACCTAGTTTTTATGTCTAATCATCATAATATACACAATCTCTTGGTTCTCTCAATGGTTTAACCAGAACTTCCCTTGCTTCTGATTGGTTAAACGAGAACTTCCCTGGCTTCTGATTGGCTGTTCCTGGGATTTTTGATTGGGACTTCACAGCATATCAAATAAAAGATTTATGAAAGCTTTATGTTAAAGCTTTTCTTTGGAAACTTTAGTAAATGAAAGCTTAGAAAGAGAATCTTTCCAAAAGAAGCTTTAAAGGAAGCTTTTCTTTAAAGATCACTTTTTTGCCTCCTTTGAAAACTTTTCCAGAATAGCTTTCCCACGACCATGTGAAAACTGCTCAAATGAAGCTTTTCTATGTTTTTATGAAAGTGTTTTATATTAAAGCATTTATTTTGTAATGAGACTTTTTAATGAAAGTTTAGAAAACGAAGTTTTTATAAAGAATTTTTATAGAGAAGTTTTCTTTGGAAGCTTTGCCATGTAAGATTTTCTGTGAAACCTTTTCTAAGAAAGCTTTAATATGCATCAGGAATACAAATGTTAATATTTCCATAAGGAAGAAATTATTTTAAACAAGTATATTACCAGAGCTGCTGGAATTTTACAGGGTGGAGAAAAAGAAAATTAATCTTAATTCTTGAGTAAAATATTCCAATATGAAGAGATTTTTCTTATGACATTCTCAGCACTCACTTTATTATCTTACTGAGTAGGTATGGACGCAATCTGGATTTTAAAAGTTATAAAAATCTTTGATTTTACATGATTAAAAAAAAACTAAAAAGCAAAGAAAATCTTCTCCGAAATCTGTTTCAAATTTTATATTTTAAGGGGAATAGAAACTAATTTCTCATCAAATCCCTCTTTCATTTCTTTACATCATGATGTTATAAACTTTATATATTTCAAACTTTGGCAGTTTGATTTAGCAAAATCATATTTTCTTAAACCAAAGGCTTAAAACATCTAAGACTGAATTTATAGAATTTAAACCTCGTCGCTGAACTTTAAATAACCGGTTCCAACTAAGCGCTGGTAAAATTGCCAGCTGAACCAACCATGTTTGAACTGCATCTCATGTTTGAACTGTGTCTTGACATTGCTCAAATTCTCTAAATTCGGCCTCTGGTTGTGAAGATAAATTCTTTAAAAAAGTACAAAAGAGAAGGATGCCCAGGTTTAGTAAAACCATTTATTGAACCCAAGCTGGGGTTTATCACCTACTAAAAGGTAACATGAGGTGGGAATCCTAGAAATTAAAGAATATTGGATTATGTGACTTCACTCTCATCAAACTTTATTCTAACCAAGGAAATATCGCCATGAACATCCATCTTTTGAATTTCTAACCGGCCCAACCCCTTGTACCAGCCTTAGTGATGGACTTCATGTACCGGCCCAACCCCTTGTACCAGACTTAGTGATGCACTTCATGTACCAGCCCAACCCCTTGTACCAGCCTTAGTGATGCACTTCATGTACCAGCCCGACCTTATCCTATGTTGGCCCAGTTGGAATTGGGTGTCGTTCAGAAGAAAAAAACGAACGATGAACAAACGAAATGAAAAATGAAAAAATATTGTTTATAAAAATTATTGAAAAAATGAGCAATTTAAAAACATTCAAACGAACTTGAAAAAACGTTAGTTTTTTTTAACTAAACCAACATATTTCCCACAAGATTTTGAAAAAAAAACTATTGTTTTCACTGAACGAACGATTTTATTAAACAAACAATTTCACTTAGCAATAGTTAAGTGAGAAAATGAACAAAATAGATGGAAAATTAACGATAATTTTGAAAACGAAGAAAAATTTTTTTTTTTGAACATTTGAAAAAAACTTACAAAATGGGTCCTTCACGATCGATGACCGAATGAAATGAAAAAAAGTCAATTCTACTTTTGGGAGCAATGAAAACAAATACACATCATAAACCCCTTACATATTTATTTACATAATTGTATTGCAGATTATGGTATGCATGAAAACAAAGATACATCATAAACCCCCATATGTTTGTTTACGAAAAATGTATTGCAGAATCTGGGAGAAAATTAAAAACGATACCCTGACCGAGTAGCCATGAGAGTAAAACTTAAGTCAGAAAATCGAAATGAAACCCAGTATCGAAAGCCTGGTTTAATGATAGGGATCAGGCAGTTTTGTAGATACCAAAATGTTTGTTTTCTATTCCTGCTGGGGGGGGGGGGGTCAATTTGCCCCCCCCCCCCTGTAGTTTTTTTACATCTCAAAAAGTATTGGTCTGAGGCTGTTGAAATTTTCTGACTTTTCCTACATACCCAAAGCCCTCCCTTTAGGCCTAAAACAGGGCTTTAATACTAACTGCCTGAGTCCTCAGGCACACTGCCTGAATGACTGCTTTTTCCTGTAACAAACTAAATCTTTGTTTTGACCCACTTCCACTTGTCATATTTTGATAAAATTTAGCTTTTTGGAAAGCCTTTGACATAAGGAAACGAATTGCACAAGTTTTGCAAAAATTAATTGCAAATTTTTTGCAAACAACCTGTCAAATGAAATTTGCACATTTTTAGTTTTTCTTGATTAAAAATTAGGTTATTTAAATTTTGCAAAATTTTTGGCATATTTGAAATGGCATGGTCAAGGGCTTTTCAAAAATGTATAATTTTTCCTTTTTTTTGGCAAATTTTTTTGCAAACATTTTTACTATTTAACTGGATTTTGCGATAAAAAATTATAATTTTGCAATTTTGCAATTTTTTTTGCAGATTCTAAAAGTAGAGCACAAGAGCTTTCCAATGATGTATCATTTGTCGTTTCCAAGTACCCCAGCAGAGATAGGGTTAAGAAATATTACTCAATATTATTCAATATTATTATTCAATATTATTCAATAAATGTGGAACTAACATCTACTTTTTTACTTTACAGAGGTTTAGTCCATCACCATCACTGAATTTTAAAAGAAATATTATTTCATGCCGTGTATTAGTACATTTTCTTTTTTCTGATTTCTATGTTAAAATCTGTGCAAATGTAGAGTCCAAAAATAAACTTGGAAGTTTAACTAATAATACTCTGATTTTGTTTATATCGAAGAAACTGCAGTACACATATTTGTAAACAAATCTCGAGTAAACAAATTGTAAAGTTTCTCCAAGGATTGTAAAATGTATGAATTTCTAATAAAAACAAATAAAAGAAATAATAAAAACAATACCAACTTTCATTTTTAAATTCTTTGAGACTCTTTTTCATTTCTCCAAGGGAAAGGAGTTAATTAAGGAATTCAGTTAAAAAAAAAAACACTAATGGTGGCAATAAGAATTTGATTTTTTGTATTTAAAGGCAGCATTTGCGAAAAAAACGGGATATAGCTAATCCTAAATATTATATTCGGTTTTGATCGCTACTAATTTCAATTCCATTTCAATTACAGTGAAACCCTTAATAATACATCGGAAGAATTTATAAAATGTCGTCTTGACAATTTTTCACTGAATTTTATACTATATTTCGTAAATTTCCGTATTTGTGAAAATAAATAAATAACCATGAATATGCGGGAACAGTTTTAAAGAGTTCCATATAATCATTAATTAAAAAACTAAATATCTGCAACATTCCATTATCAGAAAGTGAAGAATACGACATTTGATAAATTCTTTCGATGTATTCCTTATTAAGGGTTTCACTGTATGATAATCCATTTTTTGTGTATGATATACTCTAGACAAAGCATGTGCATGTAAAGTACATTACCTGGGATCTATCTCCTTCCTTGAGATCTCCATCGAATGCAAAAGGGGAAATCTTTGGTGCCTCTAAAGAAAAAAACATCAAATACAAATTGTGCAATTTTGCTAGCCAATCTGTGATTAGGCCCCGACTATAACACATTTTTTCTGTCAAGAAAGAACCACCTGTTTGTTTTACATGTAAAAAGGTAAAAATTATATCATTTTATTTTATTCAACAAATTTAGTGCTTTTTTGTAAACAAAGTGTTTTATCAAAGACACTGATTTTCCTGCAAACCTTTTAATTATGAAAGACCATGAAATCATGGCAAGTTAGATTATTTAAATATATTAATTTTATTAAAAAAAACCTCCAATTAATTAAACAAAAATAAAATGAAAGTGAGGTCACCCAATAGTATAAAAATATTTTGTAAACAACTGAAAGCCAAGGTTATAATGCAAGGAAAGTTATTTTAAAGGTGTACGCATCTTCTGTACTGCAGTGTACTGTCTCTGGGAGGTAATGTAAACACAAGACGGATGTCACAGTCTGACATGGGATCAATCTTTCACATACAAAATGAAATATTCTGGTCAAAGGAAACTATTATGTGAATTATGAAAACTATCAAAATTAAATGCTTTTTTCCTCCTCAGATACTAAACTAACACTGAAGCATCTATTCTTGCTTACAAATTCCACCCAGAGAGAACTGGTTTCAATATGTACGCAGAGTATACGCAACTGCAATTAACTTTTCTTGCATTATAACCTTGCTTTTCTGTCGTCATCTTACTGACCTATAACTATTAGAACAACGTAAGCTGTAGCTGACCCTTGACCGTCACTGTACGCTGTACAACTGTACTCAATGTTATCATTTTTCTCAACATTTCTGCAGTCATACAAAACAAATTAAAAATGATTATTTAATATGTGTTATACCAGTGCAGTCATACAAAACAAATTAAAAATGATTATTTAATATGTGTTATACCAGTGCAGTCATACAAAACAAATTAAAAAAGATTATTTAATATGTGTTATACCAGTGAAAAAAGGTGACTCTAGAATAGATTAAACAAAAACTTGCAAAACTTTTTTTCCATGAAATAAAATAAAAAATTTAAGCAAAACTGTATTGGTTTTGTTTTCTTCCAAACCCTACAACTTAATCAAGGTTTAATGAACAGAATTTGAGTAAATGTTATATATCGTTTAAACCCGAGCCTATTAACCTTTTCAAATTTGATACAAAATTATGTATCTAAATGTATTTTCTACTTTTTTAATTGATGGGGATTTTTAATATGTTTATATACTTTGATTAAATGTCTGTCAAGCTGTCTGTCTGTGTGTTTGTATCCAATAAACGTCAAAACGGCTTAACAGATCGGGCCCAAATTTTGTGTGGGACCTCACATGACCCGAGGGAAGGTTTACGAGTGATTAAATTTTAAAAAATTAGGATCCATACAAAATTCGCTTTTCATTAAATCTTAAATAATCCAAGATTTTTTTCTTTTATAAAGTTCGCGAATTTTTTTGTTATTGTTTTACAAAGAGAAAATATTCACAATTTAAATAGAAGATGGGCGTGAAGCGCCCTGAAGGCCAGGTATTACAAATTACATCAATGGGATTTTATATAAATATATTTTTACTTATTTTGTCTGGATAGATATATGAATTAACAGATAAATCGACAGATCAAGAAATAGAATGAATTGGATACTAAATATATATATATATATCTATGGTAGTAATTGGTGTAAAGTTACTAAACTAAATGATAAAGAGATAAAATGATAAAGTAATCATTAACAAGCTGGAGACACAAACAATAGGTTTACTTTCAATTTTATCTAGCATTGATCTATTTTTGATTGATTAGGCCTTGATCAAACTTTTAACCAGCTTTGATTAAGTCGATTTGATCAAAATTTGATAAAAATTTGATCAGGATTTGATCAACTTTTAATCGAGCTTTAATAAAGCTTTAATTTAAATTTGATCAGACTTTGATCAAGCGTAAATCAAACTTTGATCAAAATTTATCAAGATTTGATCCAGCTTTGAACATGATAAAACAAATTTTTGATCAAGCTTTATTTGAGTTTTGATCACGTAATCCAGGGTTTCGATTTTCCATAAACTTTGCCAAAAAAAAAAATTGGAAAATTACGATAAAAAATGGTTTTCATTCTTATTTTAAACTAATAATGTTCAACCTTTTTTGGGACACACTCCCCTTGTTCCCTATGCGGTATAGAGAATTGAAATATGAAATGAGAAGAGAGCCAACATCTGGTCTCAATTTCTGCTGCTACAAAAGAAATATAAATTCTGTAGTACCAAATATCAAATGTCGGACCAAGTACTTAAATTAGGTTGGTTTTTGTTTGATCAGAAACCAATTTATTGGAAAGTGAGAATAAGTATAGCTCATGACAAGTTTTTTTTTTACCTCTTTGTTTACACAAAAATCTAAAAATTTCTGAACATTTAAAAATTGTTCATTCTAAAGGTAGTAAAAAAATAAACATTTTAGATAAAAGTTTTTGCCATAGATAAAGATAGATTGCTCATAAGACGACATTTTTCAACTTGAAAGATGTAAATGTACAGAGATGTTTAAAAGATATTCCTATTATATAGATTAACTAGGTCGGTTGTGAACATTGGCTATTCTTATTTCATTGAGTACTTGTGGTGTAGATGAGTTCTGTAGATAGAAATCTAAGTTATTTTAGTCCTTCTCATGTCCTTCTTCAGTTCTCGTCAATATGATATATTGCTCATTGAAATATTGTTTTTCAGATAGTTCCATTCCCGGAGTTATTTTACACTCTATTATGAAATCCATTAAAACACCAAAGCACCCCGCTTATCATTGAAGTATACTTTGACCCCTAGAAGTATGAGTTCGCGGACTGTACAATTCTTGTTGATTTTGCGTACATAAGCTATCTATGTTTATTTATTTATCTATGGTTTTTGCCCCAAGCTCTGATTTGCTCCTCCCTTTATTTTGGCAAACCGATGTCGTAGACCTTTCATATTTCAAATTTTAAATTCTATTTCAAATTTTGTGTTCATGGCAAGAACGTATCATTGGACAAAAAGACCCCATTCTAAAAATATATTTTAATCAAAATCAACTAGAATCATCAAAAAGCTTTGTATTTTCCTGATCAGTAGAGATCCGTTGGTTAGAGGAGCTGGTCGTGGTCCCTATATTTGTCAGCAAATCAACCTCACGTCAAATTAAAGTAAATTTAAATTTAAATTTTTGATATCTTTTTTCATAACCAGGAACTTTGTATAAATTTAACTTTGTCCTAACTCCTAAGATTTAAGAAAGGAATTGATTCGATGTCACAAACTCTGATTTTCTAATCCCTATCTTTCCAATCCAACACCGTATAGAGTATAGACCTTAGATACTTTAAACTGTGAATTCTGTTAGATCAAATAATTTAAGTTTGAAATATTTATGGTTTACACCATCAGGTTGCAAGGATATAGGGAACAGAAAATTTGAAACTGTGGCTAAGACTCAATTCCTTTGAAACAAGAATATTCAAAAATGAAAGATATTAACCCTATTCCCGCTGGGGGGGGGGTCAATTTGCCCCCCCCCCTGTAGTTTTTTCTACATAACTCAAAAAGTATTGGTCTGAGGCTGTTGAAATTTTCTGACTTTTCTTACATACCCAAAGCCCTCCCTTTAGGCCTAAAACCGGGCTTTAATACTAACTGCCTGAGTCCTCAGGCACACTGCCTGAATGACTGCTTTTGCCTGTAGCAAACTAAATCTTTGTTTTGACCCACTTTCACTTGTCAGATTTTGATAAAATTTGGCTTTTGGAAAGCCTATGACATAAGGAAACGGATTGCACAAGTTTTGCGAAAAAGAAATTGCAAATTTTTTGCAAAAAACCTGTCAAAGGAAATTTGCACATTTTTAGTTTTTCTTGATTAAAAATCAGGTTATTTAAAATTTTGCAAAGATTTTTGCATATTTGAAATGGCATGGTCAAGGGCTTTTCAAAAATGTATAATTTTTCCTTTTTTTTGGCAAATTTTTTTGCAAACATTTTTACTATAAAACTGGATTTTGCGATAAAAAATTCAATTTTCGCAAATTTGCAAATTTTTTTGCAGATTCTAAAAGTAGAGCACAAGAGCTTTCTAATGATGTATCATTTGTCATATTTGGACATAAAACATGGGATTTAGAGGGGGGGTCAAATTGACCCCCCCCCCCAGCGTATCCTGGTTTTCAAGTACCCCAGCGGGGATAGGGTTAAGTCAGGAGTGAAGGATGGATATTATATTCAATAATAAAATGATAATAATAAAAATAATAATGTGTATTAAATATATAATGAATAAATGAAAGTTTTACGGAAAATTAATTCTAAAAAAAAGTCCAGACATGAATGTTGTTTTACTAAATTATTCAAATGGATAATTTTATGTAATAGGGTGACATATATCTAGTGCATATCTTATTTTTATAAAAAGAATTTTCTGTTTCTAAACATAGAGTGGGTCTCACGAAACATGACAAGGCAAAGGGCATGTAAGCGGTCCTTCATGTAAAAATGACAATTCATTAAATTACCAAAATGATTTGTCTGGTTAAATATGAATTAGAAATTCATGTTTTGTGTTGGGAAAACTGTTTTTTTGTCATTTGTGGTTTCTCTACAAAAGTGACTTGCGCATTTTCTACTTAAGCATCAACAGAGAATTAAACACTTTTATAGAGCCTTATTTTTTTTATCAGATTTAGGATTCAAGAGTAATATTGTGAATCGGGCAATGCCATCTTTGCACAAGGGAGGGTTACTTAAAAATCAAGGGCAGCCGTAGCACACTTGAATTCCCGAGCCGGGTCAACCTTTCCGGTCCCAGTTTGTACTATATCGCCCGGACATCTGGTAAATGAAGCAGACACTCAACATGACTAGCCGGTGCAACAAGGTTGACGCGGTCAGACTTTAGGTTGAATTTACTCTTACTGAAGGGCCAGAGGTGCGTGAAATATATTCAATCTTATTCTAGCTTGATTGTTTTTAAATCTAAAGTTTTCCAAGAAATGATTTTAGCATCAAACTTTTTGTTTTTAAAGGGATTGGTTTGAATATTTACATAAAACCCTAATTTTAGAATTCAGGATTAAAACTGAAACTATCACATCGCTATGAGATGTTTCAAAAGAATCCGCCAGAAAACTTAAGTTCACCGTAAAATGTTTATTATTAACCGGGTGTCCGCTGTACATTTAATTTTGCTCATTTTTTCAATATTTTTTGTTATAGCTTATGTATTAACAAATAAGAAAATGTAAACCGTTCTATATATGAAAATTAAAATAAATGAATGGAGTTTTTGCCACAAATTTAAATCTTCTTTGCAACCTGATCGCGTAAACCTTTGATAATTCAAACTCTAACTTTTTGATCTAACAAAATGCATAGTTTGAATAACCAAAAGTCCACAAAATTAGGTTTCAAAGATGTGGAGATAAAAGATTTAAAAAACTCATTCTGGGCATCAAGGTACATTTTTGAGAGGTAATGTAGACTTTGCTGTCTAATTCCAAAAATAAATGGGGTATCCACTCTGGGCCGTAGTAAATTCGAACAGGACCTGCCCAGTTTGTACCTGCCTGCCAGATAACAGCGTATATTGATCCAATCCTATGGTAGCCCGGTCCATATTCTGTACAGTACGTCGCTCTAACCAGATTAACATACGACAGGGGACAATTTTCTTGGCATAGTCCCGTCAGAGGGCTAACTATGACAACTCCCATGGTGCGTTCAGACTTTTTACAGTACCCGGCCTAATCCTAGGCTTATTTGACCGACCCCACTGGCTTGTCCACCGTGTATCAAGAGCAGTTCACCCTAATTAACTAGTAACAATTTTACCTATCATACATTTTTCGCCTTTTCTCTTCTCTACTTTTAGATAAATAAGTGTAAAAAAATAATTTCGTAAGTTTAAAGATTGCTGAATTATAAAAAGAAAATTCGATTGAAGAAAACGAATGGATCTCTCCCTGGTTTGTCCGAGAAAAGTTTTGGAATAAGTGAACAGTCTTTTTAATTTGTGAACTGTTTGACAAATTTCCTTGATTATCTGGTGTTGGGTAGACCATTCTACTTTATGGATAGGATACCCTGATACAGGGCACACCAGCAGCACATCAGATCCTAGGATAATAAGATGTTTTATTCTTTATTAACTCTCTCTTGATCCTAACTGATATATGTGTACTACTGTAACAGACTTTGCCCTTACTCGAATTTACTTGCGGATTTTCACAGCAGAGACGTGTATGAAAATTGACAAAAAAATTTCTTTTCACAATAGAAAAACTATTTTCCTTTTTTGCGTCTAAATGAATTTTAAGAAATTTACAAAGAGGGGGCGGGGTAATTGAGAGGTAAAATGGAATCTTATTTCTTTCTGTAACTTTGTGATTCTAATTAAAGGTTATTTTTCATGATTACAAGCTTGTTATTGGAGGGGGGNCCCCCTCCCCTCCATAGACATGTATCCCCCCTGCATAGACCGTATAGTCCTGTTCCCTAATGATCTTTTCTAATAAATTGTTCAGCTATTACGACCGAGTCGGAAAACCTTAATGAAACTAGACTCCTGCTAAACTGTCCTCTATCTTTCAGCAAACTCTCTACTAAAACCCATGCACTATAAATTCGGTCGGAGTACTGCATATCACTGCAGTATTCACAGAAAGGTTAGTTTAGAGTGAGTAAACCTGGCCGGACTCTAAACTAGAAAACTGTAAACAAAACTTGTTTACAACTCTTCAAATTACCAACCACAAAAGTCTAGCAAAAAGTTAAATTACAAAACCTGTAAATGTCAAAGTTATACATCTATGGAGAAGTTATAGAGTTTGCTTGAATGAAGAATGTGACCCACATATTAAAGATTCAACTTGCATTTAAAAATCTCATCAGTTTTTAAGACAGGATCGACTTTGAAATGTCGCAGCGTCTTGAACTTTGATTTAATTCTGTAACTCTTTTTTGCTTTTCTGTAGCCCTTTACATGTATATTTTGGCACTGTTAAGCACTTGGGTTAGCTATGGTTCTTAAGAAGTAATTGGCAAAATTCTCAATGATTTTTGCTTGAGAGATTGAGACCTTTCAAACACATCTAGTATGCCGAATCCATTAGCGCCTGATTCAGGGTTCAGCCATGTGTTTGGTGTCTGAACCAATAGAAATTGCATGGCGGTAACGTCTATCTTTCTATCCATCTCATTATTTAATTAGAGATGAATCCTTATATCGGCGCTATATGGCGCTATATCGGGGCTAAATGGAAATATTTACTTCTACTGAAACTATAGTGCCGGCAATGTACTGCCATGTATCACAATGCAATGTATAAAAACAGTTATAAACTAGTTTAATTAAAAACAATAGAATAACAAGATGTTGTGTTTAAAGGGTCTCATAAACGTATTTTAAAGTTATCCTCTATTTATAGATCAGGATATGTTGGGTTAAACTTAAAAGTTTTGCGAAACTAATGTTGAACATTTTTAAAACTGATTATTTTCTATTGAAATCTCTATTTAAAACTTTAAGTAACTTGCACATTTATACAGCAGGAAAACATTGTAGGAAGTATCAGAATTAAACACTTTTTAAGCTTGAAAAACAACAATTTTTCCCACAATATTGATCAGATTAAGGCTTCAAGACTATTATTTCTATTATTTAAATAGTAGAACACTTGAAATTATAGTGAGAGTCCCTTTAAAAGTCAGTGACAGTCTAAAAGCTCTTCAAACTGTGGTATACTTGTATCTACAAAATAGATCAGACACATCTACTCTTTTTCTTTAAATATTACTGTTAATGGAAAAAATTGTGCAAAAACCAAATTTTGATAATCCTAAGTCTTAAAAAAACTTTACCTGCTACAGCAGTTTGGTTCAACCTTCCTCTTGATGTCGGGGGACCTATATATTGTTTTGTCTTAATATACTTTTAGTTGTTTTCAGTATCCTATTTACAATTTTAGCTTTCAAATCCGAAAAACGCCATTTTTAATCGTTTAAAAAGTTCTCTGATTTTTCTGGTGAAATTGGTGCATTTACCTGAGTAATAAATTTCGACACTTTTTTCCATGCAAATTTGTTTATTTTAAACCTTCCCTGGGGTTATGTGATTTGGCTCAAAATGTTGGGCTCGATCGGTTCAGCCGTTTTTACGTTTTTTGGATACAAACAAACAAACAAGAGGGAAGAAAGCAGGTTAAAAATTAAGTAGGTACACCAAGAGGGAAGAAAGATGGTTTAAATTTAAGTAGGTACACCAAGAGGGAAGAAAGATGGTTAAAATTTAAGTAGGTACACCAAAAGGGAAGAAAGATGGTTACAAATTAAGTAGGTACACCAAGAGGAAAGAAAGCAGGTTAAAAATTAAGTAGGTACACCAAGAGGAAAGAAACCAGGTTAAAAATTAAGTAGGTACACCAAGAGGAAAGAAAGATTGTTAAAAATTAAGTAGGTGCACCAAGAGTAAAAGGAAGATGGTTAAAAATTAAGTAGGCACACCAAGAGTAAAAGGAAGATGGTTAAAAATGAAGTAGGTACACCAAGAGGAAAGAAAGATGGTTAAAAATTAAGTAGGTACACCAAGAGGAAAGAAAGATTGTTAAAAATTAAGTAGGATACATCAAGATGAAGGAAAGATGGTTAAAAATTAAGTAGGATACACCAAGAGGAAAGAAAGATGGTTAAAAATTAAGTAGGTACACCTAGAGGAAAGAAAGATGGTTAACAATTAAGTATAGGATACATCAAGAGGAAGGAAAGATGGTTAAAGATTAAGTAGGCACACCAAGAGGAAAGAAAGATGGTCAAAAATTAAGTAGGATACATCAAGAGGAAGGAAAGATGGTTAAAAATTAAGTAGGTACACTAAGAGTAAAGAAAGATGGTTAAAAATTAAGTAAGATACATCAAGAGGAAGGAAAGATGGTTAAAAATTAAGTAGGTACACCAAGAGTAAAAGAAAGATGGTTTAAAATTAAGTAGGCACACAAAGAGTAAAAGAAAGATGGTTAAAAATTAAGTAGGTA